ACACACACACACACACACACACACACACACACACACACGCACCCTCCCCCCTGCAACTTCCTGAAAGCTTCTTGGGAATCCTTAGGCATCCCTTGCATCCACCTTACTATGAAAACTGCTATTGTAGATTTGATTTGATTTTATATTTATTTTTTCACATCTTTGAAACAGGGTCTCATGTAGCCCAGGCTGGCCTGGAACTCACTGTGCACATAAGGATGACCTTGAATGCCTAATGCTCTGCCAACCCTCCCAGTCTCTGAGATCACAGGTATGTACCACACCCAGCTTGCTCTTCTAAATTAAAAGAAAATTGTTTTATTTGTACTTTATGTGTATGATTGTTTTGCCTTCCTGTATGTATGTGCACCACATGCTTGTCTCCTGAGTGGCTGCCTGTGGAGGTAAGAAGAAGATGTCAAATGGTCTGGAGCTGGAGTTACAGATGGTTGTTAGCCACTGTGGATGCTGGGAATCCAACCTGGGCCCTCTGCAGAGCAGCTAGTGCTCTTAACCACTGAGCCATCTCTCTAGCCCTTCACCTTTATTTTTTGAGACAGGGTCTCTCACTAAACCTGAAACTTACTGATTGGGCTAAGCTGGCTGGCCAGTGAGCTTCATGGATCTTCCTTTTTCCATTACAACCCCCCGATCCCTGTGATGGGGTTAGAGGCACATGCCACCATGCCTAGCTTTTTACGTGGGTTCCAGAGATCCACATTCAGATTGCCATGCTTGTGCAACAAGCTCTTTGCCCACTGAGTCGTCCCATCCTTGATGGGCCTTTTGTAAAAGAGAAAAATGAACATAGCTCAGTGGCATGCAGCTTGTACAAGGCCCTAGGTTCAGTTCCCAGCACCCCCACAAAGGAAAAGAATGCTAGAGTATTTGGAGTATTTGGGTTCCTGGGAGTATGTACAGAGTCACAGGGCTTCACCCATTCTGCCTCACAAGGGCCAGCAGGGAGTTCCAGACTGAGAAGGTACTGAAGCACCTGTTGGGCCAATTTGTTTGTTGAGACAGGGTCTCCTCGTAGCCCCAGCTGGCCTGGAACTCCCTATGTAGACCAAGCTGGCCTCAATCTCACAGAGCTCTGCCTACTTCTGCTGAGATTAAAGGTGTGCACCACCAGGCTGGGTTTTTGTTTTCCTTTTGAGACAGAGTCTTACTAGGTAGCCCTGACTAGCCTAGAATTCCCTGTAGACCAGACCAGCCTTGGTCTTGCAGTGATCCTCCTGCCTCTGGGATTGCAGGCTTGTGCTACCATGCCTGGCTTCATGAAGCCTTCTATTTGATTGAAGCAGTGTGGTATCCAGTTTAGCTTAATGTAAGAAATGCAAACTTGAGGGGGCTGGAGAGATGGCTCAGTGGTTAAGAATACTGACTGTTCTTGCAGAATACCCATGTAGGTTTGGATCCCAGCACCCACATGGCTGCTAACAACTGTCAATAACTCCAGTTTCAGGGAGTTGACAGCCTCTTCTGTCCTCTGAGGGCATTGCACGACACGGGTGCACTTACTTACATGCAGGCATAACACTCATACACATAAAATAAAAATAATAAAATATTTTTAAAAAAAGAAATGCAAATTTGAAAGTCAGTGTATCTAGATTGAAGAACAGGCTCAGCCACATGTTTGCTAGTGATTTAATCATCTAGTCCCTCCTTATCGCTGCAAAGGAGTGCTGACAGAATTGCCTGGGGGTTGTCCTAAGTGCTGAGATAATGCTCAGAGAGCCCTTGGCATGAAACCCCAGTCAGAGAAAATGCATAACAGGAGTGATTTTTGTGAGCTTGTTTATCCTGGGAAGTGGGTCCTTTCCCCCAAGTGCTGAGCACTCAGTATCACTGCACTGCAGAAGCCACTCTGGAATGATGGCGAGGTCAGTTTTGCCTACACATGCATGGTCCATTCTGTGCTTTTCGGAAACCCAGAAGGCTCGGAGAATCTTAAAGTATGTCTGTCATGTTTGGTTTCCAAACCTGAACCATGTGGTGTTGTGTGTGTGTGTGTGTGTATGTGTGTGTGTGTGTTACCTACATGTATACCTATTCAAGTGTGTGTGCACATGTGTGGCAGATGCATATGCATGCCTTTGTGCATGTGGAGGCAGAGGCTGACATCTGATTTCTTCCTTAATCACTCTACACCTTTAAATTTTTATTGCATTTATTTATGCATGTGTATTTGTGGCTTCTCATGTGCATATGCACACATGCAGGCCATAGCACATGTGTGGAGGTCAGAGGACAATTTACAGAAGTCTGCTTTCTCATTTCATTGTGTGGAGCCTGGAACTTGAACTCAGGCTTGGCAGCAAGTACTTTTACCTACTGAGCCATCTCACTGGCTCCTCCATTTTTTTAAAATCACCCACTGTATCTGTTTTTTGTATGTGTATATTGTGTGTATACATGTGTGTATTCGTGTGTGTGGGTACATGTATGTGCTATCGCATGTTCATGTATGTGGGGGGCGGGTGAAGGCTAGAAGTTGCTGTTGAGAGGCAGGCTCTCTTACCCAAGCCCTAGCTTACTGATTCAGCTAGGCTGGTTAGCCTGCTTGCCCCGGGATCCCCCATCACTGCCTCTGTGCCCTGGCATTACAGGTGGGATGCCATACCCTTCTTATGTAGTGGATGGGGATCTGAACTTTGGTCCTCATGCTTGCATGACAAGCACTTTACCAACTGCACCACTGGGGTAAAGACTATTATATCACGTGTGATCAGTGAAATCTGTACTATCAGTTTAAAGATTTCTGTAAATGCCCAAAGCAGCAACCAAAACAGAACAAGCCTTTGTAGCTGGGCCCTGTACTAGAGCATGCCTTCAACACTCAGCCAGGCAGGAACTCTGCCTTAGTCTTCCCTTCCTGCTTCTGCAAAGCAAAGCTTAGCCAGAGAGGAGACTTGGAGCTTTGCCACGTCTTTTCTGAGCATGTGCCCACCCTGCCCTGCCAAGTCCCTGATCTGTTCAATTCTTAAGAATATGTAGAGGCTGCTTTGGGGGCAATGTGATAAAGTTCATATTTATGTCAGTGCTCACCCCCGGTGGTATATGATTCTGGGGTTCTCACTGATGTGCGATATCTCCACTATTAGAGCAGTAGTTCTCCATGCTGAGTAGTTCTGCCCATACCCCAGAATGCCTTCTGTGCTTCACCTGTGTCAATCCTGCCTCAACCCTGGCAGCTGCTGCTGTTTTAACTGGGGTGACAGTTTGTATCTTCAGAAGGCATGCAGGTGGAGGCATGCAATATGTGGTCTTTCTTATGCAGTTCAGGTCCCTCCATGTCTGTGTGTTGCCTTTTAACTCCTGAACATTATTCTTTCCCCAGATGCCTCATGGTGCATCTATCCATTCCCTTCCTGGGGTATCTCAGTAGCTTCCAGATTTTGGCAATTGTAAACAGAACTCTTGTTCTATTTGTGAATTTCTGTGTGACAACACACTTTGAGCTGTACTGCGTGTGTACCTGCAAGGGCAGCTGCTGGGTGGCATGATACAATTGTTTTCAGGTCTGTGAGAAAGAAACTAAGGGTGAAAGTTTTTCAAGGAGTTTATTCAATGCATGGGACTCCCCAACTTTCTCCTTGGCTTCAGCATGTCAGTTGTTCGCCCCAGGCTACAGCAGCTGCCCTCCCTTAGCCCACCTCCATCCACCCTGAGAAGTTTCCAAATTAGGCAAAATAAGCCCTTTTCCTTGTTGCAGGGAGCTACAGACAGGGCAGACAGACAGACAGGATCCTTTGACAATAAATTCCACTCTGTCCTCCTACACCAGGAACCAACACCAGACACCCAAGGTGTTGTCTTCAAGACCACTGCTGAGCTAGGGAGTGGGCTGGGCCACAGTAAGTTCAAATGCCCCATGTTCTACCTGCTTTCCTGTAGGGGATTGCCTGCCTTTCCCTGTTTTGATCAGGTTAATTTTGTGTTGTTACTTTGGTGGTGGGCTAGGTGGGGAGGTTTTGAATTACTAATTTACTCTTTATACTTCCCTTTCTTTCCTCCCCTCTTCTTTCCCTCTCTATCCCTTCCCTCTTTCTTGTGTTGCCCAGGCTAGTGCTGAACTCTGGATTCAAAGGCTCTCCCCACTTCAGCCTTCTGAGTGCCTGGGCAACAGCTGGGTGCCACTGCATGCTGCCTGGTCTTCTGTTTCTTATAGGTCTGTTCAGATGTTTTCTTCTTTTTGAGTTAGTTTTGGTAATTTGTCTATTTCTAGGAATTTGCTACTTAATTTATGGTATCTAAGTTAGATAACTAAGGTAACCAATTTATTTTAATGTATCTAATGTGTTAATACCCACCTAAATGCAATTGTTCATAGTATTCCCTTTTAATCCTTTTTATTTTTGGAAGTTATATAGTGATAACCTCTCTTTATGCTGGGCACGGAACCTAGAGCTTCCTGCGTGCTAGGCATGCACTCTACCATCGGAGCCACATCCCAGCCTGACTTCAACACTTAGTGTATATGAAAACTCATTACCCTTACATTTTTGGTATGAAACCTCCCCAGTCCAGGCTGTGTTTTACACACACAGCATATATCCATTTGGTCAGTCACATCAGGTGTCTGATGTCCATGTGAGATGAGTGGGCAAGCAGCTCCAGGCCTCAAACCTGGCTCTATGGGCTGACTTGTGCTCACACCTTTGCCTTTGGGTTTTCTTACGCTGGCACTGGAGTTATCCTTGCTTGTCTTTTGAGCTTGGCCCTACAGTAAAGTCTACCTTATAGTTCCCATGTTTATTACTGCAAGGAAAGGGCCTTTCAGTCCACTCTGTACTACAAACCCCGTTCACTCCATACTCTTCTGCCCAATTGACAGATGACTAAAGGACCCCTAGAGCTTTGGGGACTTGCCCAAGGTCACACAGCTGTTAAGTGACCAAGGGCAGACCCAGTTGGGCTTGCTCAAATTCCAAGTCCACACCACATACCACAGCACACTGCCCCTTCCATTCTGATTCCTCCTTGCTCAGTTTCAGGAGCTAGCAGCCAGCAAGGGCTTTCCCCTCCTCGACTCCAGACACGGCCTTACTTGTCTGAACACAGGCTCAGACCAGAACCTGGCACTGGGGAACCATGGAACCATATAGCCTTGGAGAGGAGGGGGCCCTCCCATCAGAAGGCCACCTCCCTTCCTTCTCTGAGAGCCAAGGGCTTAACTGTAGCGACACACTCAACCGGGACCTGGGCCCCAGCACACGGGACCTGCTCTACACTGGCCTGAGTGGTTTGGACCTGGACCCTGGTCTCCCCACACCCGACATGCCCAGCGAAGTTCTGGAGGACAATCTGGATACCCTGTCCCTATACTCGGGGAAAGACAATGACTCTGTGAAGCTGCTGGAAGAATATGCAGACTCAGAATCCCAGGCCTTACAAGGTAAGCTGCCCGCTGAACAGAGCCCTGGTGGGATGCAGTGCATGCAGCCAGCTTGGGGTGGCATCCGTGCACTGCCTAGGAAAATTCTCCTCTGCTGGACATGGTGATGCATGCCTCTAATCCAGCATGGAGGAGGCTAAGACAGGAGGATTACTACTAATTTATGGCTAGCCTGGGATATACGGTGAAATTGTGTCTCCAAAAAACAAACCAAACAGAAGAGAAGGAAGGAAAGAAAAAGAAAATTCTCTTCTACAAGTGACTTTTTGTCTAATTTAGAATTATTCCCAACTTTCTCTGAAGGGAGCAAAATCCTAGGGAACAAAGTTGAGAAGGTGTTAGGAAAGTCCAAATTTTCTTAATATATCTATATGTATATGTATGTGTACTACATGTATGTAATAGTATATGTGTATAGTCTGCATGTGTATGTGTTGGTATGTATATATGTATGAGTATGTATATATATGTGTGTATGTATACATATGTATATATGTGTGTTTGTATGTCTGTGTTTATGTATGTATGCTTGTGTGCATTGTGTGTGCATGTGCATGTGGATGGGTGAGAGGACAGCTTTGTGGAGCTGGATCTGTCCTTTCACAATGGGATGTGGAGATGGAACTCAGGTCCTCAGGCTTGCACAGCAAGCGCTGTTACCCACTGAGCATCTCACCAGTCTGAGATCCTCAACTCTCCTGGCATGTGTGCCTAGTACTTACAGGACACCTTCCTGTCATTGATGTCTCAGGGCACTGTGAGTTGGGGTCCTGGCACTCTGACCCTTGCTTGTCTAACTTCATCAGGCCTCCTGTCCTCACTGGGAATGTAGGGGGCTGCAGTCCTCCCATGCAGTCTACCTTCCTCCCCACAGCCACAGTGGCGAGAAGCAAAGACTGTGAGAGCACTTCACAGACCATGATGCAGCAGGCAGGTGTCAGGACCTTGGCTTGGCTTTGTGTTGTCCCCTTCCCCTTTCCTTCCCCTTCCTCCTTCCCTTTCTCTTCCTCCTCTTCTTCTTTCTTCATCTTGCCATGTTGCCCAGAACTCCCAGGCTCAAGCAAACGTCTTGCTTTATTCTCTCCAGTAGCTGGGCCAATAGGTTGTCCCACCATGCCCAGCTAGTTATTTTTTTTAACCAATACTGTTTTGGAATACTTAATTTCAAATAGGCCCTGATTCCATTCTGTCCTAGTTTGTTTCTCCATTGTTGTGACAAAACACTCTGACTACTATCAACTTGGGGAGGAAAGCATTTATTTGTCTTACATCTCCCAGGTCACAGTTCATCAGAGAGCCCAAGGTAGGAACTCAGGGCAGGAACCTGGTGGCAGGAGCTGGAGCACAGCCCATGGAGGAACTCTGCTTACTGGCTTGCTCCCTGGCCCCTGCTCAGCTTGCTTTCTTATGTAACACAGGCCTACCTGCCCAGGGGTAGCACCACCCACAGTGGGCTGGGCCCTCCCACATCACTCAACAATCAAGAAGGTTCCCCATGGACATGGCCACAGGCCAGTCCAATGAAAGCAATTCCCCAATTGAGGCTCCCTCAACCCAGGTGTGTCAAGTTGACACTAAAGCTATCCAGCACATATTTCAAACCTTTCTCTTTAGGAGAAGAATGGGGGCTTGGGGGTGGGGTTACTGAAATGATTGAACAGCTTGGTTAAATCTCATTTTAGATTGCTTTAGGCCTCTCCTAGAAGAATTCTTTTCTTTTGTTTTAGTTTGATTTTGACTTTTTCATCAGTTCCTGGCAAGTTGCTTCAGTGGGTTGACCAAGCTGAGTTCCTCGGTGTTTATGATCACACTTTTCACGTAGAAGGCCTTACACCCTGCCAAGCACATGTCAGTCTGTTGGGATAGTGCTGGAGTAAAACCTCCAGAGAACTTGCTAACATGAAAGTCTTCTGAGGGCCCACTCCACCACAAATGTAAACAGACAGATGTTAGCTGTGTATCTGTGTTGGGATGATGGCCAAGCATGAAGTCTTTGAGTCATAAGAACACACCCAGGAGGGATATCTGGAGTACTGCAGCACCAGCCAGGCCCAGGGCTATGGTAGGAAGCTCAGCCTGGGCCATAGCTGAGCGATGCTGGTGATGGGAATTTGTGTGCATTCTACTGCCACAGCAGCCCTGATTGTCACCAGCCATTCATAGGATCTGTGTATATCAGTTTTCCTCATCTGCTTTACATGGATCTGGTTTTCCCTCCTCTGCATATTGTTTCAACGCCATACCTCTAAAACTTAAATTCAGGTCCAAATAAGTAAATATGCTTATGTTGATTTCCTCTTCCTCCTCTCCCTCTTCTTCTCCTCCTTTTCCTTTCTTCCTCTTTTTCTTCTCTTCCTCCTCCTCTTCTTCCTGCTTTTCCTGTTCCTTCTTCTTCATGGGGTCTTACTATGATTAGGCTGGCCCTGAACTCCTGGGTTCAAATAGTTTTCCTGTCTCAGCCTCCTGAGTATCTGGACTACAGGCATGCACCACATGCCCAGCTTTCTTTAATTTTAGTTTGTTTGTTCATTTGTTTCTTTGATACAGGGTCTCACTATGTAGCCTGGGATGGCTGGAACTCTCTCAGTAATCTTCCTGTCTCAGCTTCCCAAGTGCTAATCATTACTGACATGAACCACCATGCCCAGCTACATTGTCTTTTTTATTAAACTTGTATTTATTATAGAAAATGTAGTAAGAAGCAAGAAAAAAAACTCTGACCTACACATACATCTTTTGTTGTTTCCTTTTTTTTTTTTGTCTTTTTGAGACAGGGTCTCTCTGTAGCCCCAGCTGTCCTGGAACTCACTATGTAGACCAGGCTGGCCTTGAACTCTCAGAGATCCGCCTGCCTCTGCCTCCCCAGCACTGGGATCAAAGGTGTGTGCCACCACACCCAGCTTGTTTCCCTTTTTGGGGTGGGGTAAAGGTATTCACTGTATAACCCAGACTGGCCTTAAACTCACAGCAATTCTCCTGCCTTTGCTTTCTAAATGCTGGGATTACAAATGTGCATCAACATGTAACATGGGTAAAGTTGCTCAGATATATGTAGTTTTATAGAGTTAATATTAAGTATGTTGTGGGCTAGGGTGTGACTTAGTTGCAGACTGCTTTACTAGTATGTGAGAGGTCTTAGGTTCCAATCTCCAGTACCACCAAAATACATACACATGCACACACACAAAGGTGGACTATGCAGTTCACTATCATAACCATTCTAGTGGATTGTCAGACCCACAGTCTTGTCAGACTGTTAAAGTGTTTCTGTCAGCGGCTTTTCACATACTGAGTTTTCTTTTGGATTGATTCTTTGAACATTATCCTCCCAGTGTGCTGACCCAGACAGAGTATAATCTTTAGTCTTATAATGCTGCTTTCTGGAAAGCTCAAGGAGGTTTCCAAGCCAGTGACTTTACCTATTTCTGTATTGTGGTTTGTTTCTTCAGACACAATTTGTGTTCTAATCTAACAGTTGCTTTAAGGAGAATTTAAAGTAATTCAACAAGGCTGGGGACTCTATTCAGAAGGAACCTATTTTTTCTTCTTTAAACTGTTAGAATTCCTCAGCTACTCACCCTAGCCACTTGTCTCCCTGTGGTCTTCATTCACAAGCCTGGCTCTGCCCCTTACAACAGAGGGACAAAGGCAGTCTGCTGCTGCTCCACATGCTGGCCCTTCGGTGCTTGATGACTTTGCCCTCCCCCAGTAGAATTCCCAAGTTCCTTCAGCTGCTCCTTGGGTGACACAATTCATAAAAATACCTGCTGTCATTTTGCCATGGGATACAGAAAATATGGGAAATTCAGACACATAAAGGGGAAAAATAAAACCAGCCCATCTCCCTGTCAGTGAGCCCCAGTCTCTGCCTGTTCCTACTCAAATTTAGTTTTTTTTCACAGCTGGGGTGAATTCATTTTGCAAAATAGGCTGCTGGGTTTTGTGTGTGTCTGGGTTGTGTGTGTGTGTGTGTGTGTGTGTGTGTGTGTGTGTGTGTGTGTGTGTTTGTGTTTGTAATATATTATGAACATACTTTCTTGTCCTTGGATATTTTTCTACGGTTTTATTCAGAAAGCTTGTGTGATACGTCGTAATGCAGGGCTGGGGTGTAGCTCAGTGACAGAAAACTTGCCTAGGACCTAGCATGACTCAAACTGTGGATTCAAGATTCAGTTCCTATAAAGAGAGAGAGAGAGAGAGAGAGAGAGAGAGAGAGAGAGAGAGAGAGAGAGAGAGACTGTAGTCTCCTCCAAGCCTCAGGTTGTTTCTAACAATTCACCAGGAAAAGCAGATGAACTTTTGTAAAAAGCCCACTCGAAGTTCAGAACCCCAAGGTAGAACTAGCTTGGTGAGTGCACAGGTTTTGGATAGTGTGTCTCTAGACTGACCTCTAAGTATCTGGTGACAAGGCAGCAGGCTACAAACCTGCCATTTGGTCATGCTGCTGCTCTAGAAGCTTTAGCTTCATCCCTGGCCCTCCCAGTGTGCCACCAAGGCTAGGTGCAGTCCTCCAGGTCCTCCAGATATCGCCCACCCGGACCTCACCTCCTTCCAGTTCCTAAGCCTTGTTTTCTTTTTTTAACTATTTTATTTTACTTTATTTTGTTTTTTTGAGACAGGGTCTCCCTGTACCCCTGGCTGGCCAGGAACTCGCTATGTAGACTAGGCTGACCTTGATCTCATAGAGATCTGCCTGCCTCTGTCTCCTGAGTGTTGGGACTAAATATGTGCACTATGCCCAGACTTGTTTTTTATTTATTTATTATTTATTTATTTGGTCTTTTTTTTTTTTGAGATAGGGTCTCCCTGTAGCCCCAGCTGACCTAGAAATCACTACGTATACCAGGATGGCCTTCAACTCACAGAGACCCACCTGCCTCTGCCTCCCGAGTGCTGGGATTAAGGTGTGTGCCACCACACCGGCCTTGTTTTCCTTTTTTAAAAGATTATTTTTATTTTATGTGTATGAGTGTATTGCCTGCATGTATATAAGTGCACCCATGTCATCCAATGCCTGTGGAGGTCAGAAGGGGGTGTCAGATACGCTGGAACTGGAGTTACAGACAGTTGTTAGCCGCCATGTGGGTGCTAACCTAGGACCTCTGCAAGAGCAGTCAATGCTCTTAACTACCGAGTCATCTCTCCAGCCCCTATTTATTTTTATTTCATGTGTTTTGCCTGCATGTGTATAAGTGGACCCGTGTCATACAATACCCATGGAGACCAAAAGAGCATGTTGTATACACTATATGGACTGTTGTTAGCTGCCATGTGGTTGCTGTGATATGAACCCAGGTCCCCTGGAAGAACAGGAAGTACTTTTGATCATTGAGCCAGTTCCACAGCCCCTTTAAAATTTTTTTTTTCTGTTCTATACTCTTTTAATCTTGTGTCATTACTATTTTGGTTTTTTTTGTTTGTTTGTTTGTTTTTGCTTTTTGTTTTTTGGTCTTTTTGAGATAGGGTCTCCCTGTCGCTCCAGCTGTCCTGGAACTCACTATGTAGACTAGGCTGGCCTTAAACTCACAGAGATCTGCCTGCCTCTGCCTCCCAAATGCTGGGACTACAGGCGTGTGCCACCACACCCGGCAAATTTTTAAAAACATTTTATTTATTATTTTTATTTTTTATGTATTTGAGTGCATTTCCTACATGTATGTAAGTGCACCCATTTTGTGCAGCGCTTTCGGAGATCAGAAGAGGGTGTCGGATCCCCTAGAACTGAGGTTACAGACGGTTGTTAGACGCCATGTGGGTAGTGGGAACTGAACCTGGGTCCTCTGCAAGAGCAGCACTGAGCCATCTCTCCAGGCCCACCTTTTTTATTTTTTAAAAAGGATTTTCTTGACTAAGCTTTGTTTTCTGCACATGCAAAGCTGCTTGAATTTGAGTTCAACTCTGACAAGTCCTTCATGCTAAGAGCACTCTCGTATTCCAGCTCTGTGTAACCTGTGCGTTCTCCCTCTGTTTAGACCTGGGGCTGGGCACACTCAAGGTGCCTAAAGAGGCTGATGAAGGAGGCAGGACCACCGGGAGTTCGAGGAAAGGCAGGCGGCACCACAGTTCCCCTCAGGACCCACTCCTGGACTGCAGTCTGTGTGGGAAGGTGTTCAGCAGCACCAGCTCCCTGAGCAAGCACTACCTGACACACAGCCAGGAGAGGAAGCACGTGTGCAAAGTCTGCAGCAAGGCCTTCAAGCGCCAAGACCACTTGTATGTCAGAATCTGGGCGGGGGCAGCCTTTCTCCTACCTTCCAGTCTACCTACCCTGTCCTATTTTGGGTTCCCATATGTGTGTTCCCTGTCCTCTGGCATGGACTCCATTCTCTTCACACTGCCAGTGTCCCAGACAGGTCTGACTCTGCTCTGGGCAGGTCTCTTTAATGAACCCCCAAATGTACCCCAGTGAGGAAATTCCTGCCTCTGCAGACAGAACTCTTGTAGTTTACAAATGTGATGGCCTTCCAGGCATGATGGCACCCCGGGGAGGTGAAAGCAGGAGGAGCAGGAGTCCAAGGGCAGCTTCGGCTACATAGCAAGTTTGAGGCCCTCCTGCACCACATGAGACTCAAAAAAAGAAAAGTTTGAGGGCCAGGCGTGGTGGTGTGCAGTACATGCCTTTAATCCCAGCATGTGGGAGGCAGAGACAGGTAGATCTCTGTGAGTTCGAGGCCAGCCTCAAGGTCTACATAGCAAGTTCCAGGACTGTATAGTGAAACCTCCCTCTCTCTCTCTCTCTCTCTCTCTCTCTCTCTCTCTCTCTCAAGAAAAAGCTTGGCTAACTTGATAAAGAGATGTCCTGAGTCCCTAGTGGGGAGTCCCTAGTGGGTGCCTGAAGATAACAACTCTGCAGTCCATGAGGAATGCACATTGCAACAGCTAGGGGCATGAATGAAGATGTCCAGAACATGTTCTGTGTCCAGAACATGGTCATTTAACTTTTGTTTTTATTTTTCTTTTTTCAAACATTATTTTTCATTTATCTGTATGAATATATTGCCTGCATGCAAGTGCATCTATGTTGTCATGCAATGCCCACGATGTCAGAAGATGGTGTCGGATCCCCCGGAACTGGAGTTACACACAGTTGTTAGTCACCATGTTGGTGCTGGGAATTGAACCCAGGACCTCTGCAAGAGTGGCCAGTGCTCTTTACTGCTGAGCCATCCTGTAGCCCCCGACGTTTTTCAAACTTTTAAAACTTAGGGTTTAAAAAAACCTTGATTTTACAAAGAAAGCCAGGAAAAGGGTTTAGAGCAAAGTTTCCTTTTGCTCTTATATCTAGGGAACACTAAACTTGTGTGGCTGTGAGGTCTGAAAGTGGAAGAGGATGGTACCTGGCATGTGTGCTACATGGGGCTTTGTTGAATCTGCCTTTCTCTTTACCCACTGGCCCAGCCCCACCTCAGGCAAAGGAGCATTTAATCTGTTCCTGGGACTAAAATTTAGGTCTTCTGATTCCTTCCCTCATGGAACCATGGAGACCCTTTGGGGAAAGCAGCAGTCATGGACATCCCAGCCACATGCACTGGGACTATCCCAAGCAAGATGGTGAGGAGCTGATATGAAGGCTCCTTTGTTTGTGGTGCATCACTGTCCACCTAAGCCAGAGTGATTATGACACACTGTCCCTGTACGTACACTTGTAGAAACTGTAGGTGTATTGGCCCTTTGGCTCTAGGAAGTTTGTATTGACTGGGCATCTGTAAGTTGGTTTCCCTGTTATGGAGGTTTTAGGTAGCTGCCGCTACAGGCAGCTCTGTGGTGTCCCCAGGTTGGCATTTCCTCAGATGTGTTCTGAGGAACCCTGATTCTCAGGAGTGCTGGTGGAGGTATTTGAAATACAAAGGCTAAACTGTGTTCATTCTCTCTTTCTCCCTTCCTGCCTCCTTCCCTTCTTCCCTCTCTCTCCTTCCCTCTCCTGTGCACTGTGAACCTTCAAGGAACAAATTGTCTGTGTCTGTGTCTGTCTGTCTGCCTGTGTCTGTGTTAACACATGCCAACAGTGGCAGGTCCCCAGGAATCATCTGTAGAGAACTGGTGTTCCTTGGGCACCCACTTTAGGGAAGCCTGATCTAGCTTTTGTAGGATTTTTTTCCAGAGGGTATACTAGAGGTGAGGGTGTGGAGGTGGGTCCCTCCCCGGCATCCAAGACAGAGCAGGGGGCTGCCCACCAAATCCCTTCCCTGTCTGATGCAGGACCGGGCACATGCTGACCCACCAGAAGACCAAGCCGTTTGTGTGCGTTGAGCAGGGCTGCAGCAAGAGCTACTGCGACTACCGCTCCTTGCGCCGCCACTATGAGGTGCAGCACGGAGTGTGCATCCTGAAGGAGGCCCCACAGGAAGAGGAGGCCTACGGGGACCCACCCCACACTCAAGATGTAGCTAGCCAGCCTACCCCTAGTGGCCTGCGGTCCCTGGGTCCCCCGGAAGCCAGGTCCCCTGACTCAGTCTTGCCCAACCGAGACCTCCTGTGCTGTATTGTGAGCAGCATCGTCCACCAGAAGATTCCCTCTCCTGGCCCAGCCATGGGGCCTTCTGATGGTGACCCACGGAGCACAGCCTGTGCCTGCTCCACCTCACTGGGGCTATCATCCTGCACACTTGCCAACACCCCAGTGGCCCCAGGAACCCTGGGCTCTGAGGTTCCCGAGGAGATAAAGCTCCCACAGAAGGAACCAACTGCAGAAGTGTTCACAGCTGTCCAGTCAAGGGTGGCTGAAAACGGTGCCCCCGACCCACCAGAGTCAGAGCTGGAGTCAGAGTCCTCACGATTTCAACGCCAGTCCTCCTTGGAGGGTTGGCCCGAGGGCAGCTCCGTGCCTGCCCGCCTGCCTCTCTTCCGAGGCCACTCAGCCCTCTCAGGTTCTCAGCCATCCAGCCACAACTTCCAGTGGCTCCGGAACCTGCCTGGCTGCCCCAAGAACAAACACAGCAATGTGTTCCTGGTCCACAAGCCCCCTGCAGTTCCATCCCGGGAGGGCTCCGAGGGGGGCCCTGGGCCCAAAAGCACCCCCACCGTGGTAGAAGCCTCACCTAGCCTGAGCACTGGTCAGGAGGACCTGCCGCCATTCCCTCCTGCCCTCCTGAAGGCACCTGGTGAGGCCTCCAGTGACATCCAGCAGGCAGCTGGGGAAGATGACAACTGGATTCTCAAGAAGAGCAAGCCTGACTGTGAGCTGTTCCCATGGCAGAGCCCTGGAGAGCTGGGGCTCCAAGATGCACAGAACCAAAGTGGGCTGCCCTCAGATGCCACACCTCTCTTCCGGCAGCTGTTCATGAAGTCACAGGAGTCTCTAGTGAGCCCTGAGCAGATGCAGGTCTTCCAGATGATTGCCAAGTCCCAGAGGATCTTCTCTCACACTCAGGTGGCAGCAACCTCGACTCAGCGCCCAGGGCCAGACAGCAAGCAGGCAGTCCTAAAGCCACTGCAGGGGCCATGGCCACTGCAGGCTCCACCACCAGCACCCACCATGGACTCTCTCCAGGTGGGCCCTGGACATCCAGAGCCAGAAGGGTCTCCGATCTGGAGGAGGAAAACCATGCCTGCAGTGTCCAGAGAAACATCTCCTGGTGGTCCAAGGCGAGACACAAAAGGAGGAACCAAAATGGCCTCTGCACCACTGTCCCTCACAGAGCCTGCCCTGGACACTCCCCGGAATCCAGACATCTGTTCTCTAGCCAAGCAGTTGAGGTCTTCCAAAGGGGCCTTGGACCTGGGGGACATCCTCCCAACTTCGGGCTCACAACAGTCCCAGATAAGCGGAGATGAGCCATCAGGAGCCCAGCTGGCTGGAAAACAGGGGCAAGGCGAGAATGGCCTGGCTTCAGGGACCATGAGGGGTGAGAAGGGCCCAGCCTGCCCTCGGGGTGGAGGCTATAGGCTCTTCTCGGGCCACCCCAGGGCCCAGCAATTCTCAGGCTTCCGGAAGAAGGTGAAGATGGATGTGTGCTGTGCAGCTTCTCCCAGCCAGGTGGCAATGGCCTCCTTCTCGTCTGCTGGGCCTCCCTCAGACCCCAACCAGGACATGAAGTCCAAGCTGACAATCTTCAATAGAATCCAGGTACCCATGCCTCTCTCTTGTGGCCTGGGCCTGAGTGTGGCCTTGGATGTTTATTGGAGCATTGGTTAACTGTCCTGGCAGTTTTTCCTTTGCAGTGAGTCCCTAGATGTGATTGGACAATGAGAAGCACTTAGTATGGCATTCTTTCTCACTGAACTCTCTGTCCTTGCTTTCTTTGGCCTCCTGCTTCCTTCTGACCTGCCTCCTTGAACTCTTCAGATGATATAAAGATTGAGGGCCTCCGCTTATAACTGTGCTGCATGTGATGGCCATGCATTTTCTAGTGGAGAGTGGCCACTCCACACACGTGTGCAGGACCTGCACTGGGCCCTGCTGGTGGCCTGGGTCCTTCCTGCATAGCTCCTGACAACCTGCTCTGAGGCACTTGGTCATTCCTCCTAGTGACACCAGCCTCCTTCCCATCATCCCACAGCTACCTCTTTTCTTTTAATATTTTATTATTTTTTAAATTTTATGTATATGAGTGTTATGCCTGCATGTAGGTAAGTGCACCCATGTTATGCAATGCCCACAGAGGACAGAAGAGGCTGTCAGATCCCCTGGAACTGGAGTCACAGACAGTTGTTAGCTGCCATGTGGGTGCTGGGATTCGAATCTGGGTCTTCTGCAAGAATAGTCAGTGTTCTTAACTGCTGAGCCATCTCTCCAGCCCCTCTTTTTTTTTAAAGGATTTTACAGCTTATTATCCAAATATGGAACCATTTAAAAAATTTTTTTATTTATTTATTTTTATTTTATGTGTATGAATGTATTGCCTGCGTGCCATGCAATGCCCATGGAGGCTGGAAGAAGGGTGTTGGATTCCTTGGAACTGGAGTTAAGGATGGTTGTTAGCTGCCATGTGGGTGCTGGGAACTGAACCCAGGTCTCCTGGAAAAGAATCTAGTGCTCTTAACCACCGAGCCCCCTCAATCATTTTAAAGTTTGCACTTTGCCAGACTTTGGTATATTCACAAGGTTGTGCAGCCATCACTTTGCCAAAACAATTTCATCATGCCAAATAAAGGCTTTAATTGTCACCCCAGTCTTTCAGTCCCTCCACCTGCATCCCCAGACACACACAAACTTGCTTTCTCTCTCTGCCTGTGTGCTCTGGACATTTCACATCACAGGAGCCACAGGCTGTGTGGTAGGTTGTGTCTGGCATCTTCCACTCATGTGTTCAACGTCCATTCATGTGGCCCCATCTGTCATTACGTCATTCCTTTTTTCTTTTGTTTTAGAGATTAATTTTTTAATGTTTTTTATTTTATGTGTATGTGTGATTATGGACATGAGCATGCTACGGCACTCACGTGGAGCTCAGAACACAACTTATGGGAGCTGGTTCTCTCCTTCCACCATGTGGGTTCCAGGGATCAAACTCAGGTCAGCAGACTTGGCAGCAAGTATCTTTACCTGCTAAGCCATCTCTCTGGTCCTGCTCCTTTTCTTTTTATAGTTGAGTGATATCCTGGTGGATAGGTAGACTGGGTTTTATTTAGCAACTTACGTTTCCACTCTGGCTCTTTAAAATTTTTTTTTCATTTATTTTTGTGTATGAGTGTATTGTACCTGCATGTATGTAAGTGCACCTATGTCATACAAAGCCCATGGAGGCCAGAAGAAGGTGTCAGAAACCCTGGAACTGGAGTTAGGGACAGTTGTGAGCCACCATGTGGGTGCTGAGAACTGAACCCAGGACCTCTGCAAGAGAGATCCGGTGCTCTTAACTGCTGAACCATCTCTCCAGTGCCCAGTCTTTGACTCTTGTGGGAGAGCTGCTGGGAAATGTTTGTGCACAGCCTTCTATATGAATGTATATTCTCATTTCTCTTGGCCTGACACTAAGAATGGAGTGGCCAGACCCTATGGAAACTCTGTTGAACATGTAAGGACTGGCAAACTGCTTTCCAAAGCAACTGTTTTCCTGCCACCTCTACAGGGCCCAAGTGCTCTGGTTTCACCACTCCTCGCCAGCACTTGTTAAGATCCTCTGCTGTTGGAGTCAGCAAGTGCAGTGGTGTCTCCCTGTGGTGCCGCTCTGTCTTGCCCTGGGGGCTAGTGATGTAAGTTTCCTCCCATGTGCTTCCTAGCCACTTGTGAACTACTGTCGTATTGACTTGCAGAGATTCTTTATATATTCTGCGTGCAAAGGCCTTTATCAGACATGTGGCTCACAAACACTCTGTTCCCTTCTGTGGATTGTCTTTTTATTTGTGAGTGTTTGCAGGGCAGACACTTCAGTTCTAGTGAAGTCTGGTGTGTCTGGTCTTCGGGTTTGCTTTGGGGTCAAACCTAAGACACCATTGCCCAACATACCACCATGCAGGCTTCCCCAGTGTTGTCTTCTGAAATTCTTACACTTCTAGCTCCCCTATGTCCCCTCCTCTCAGCTCTGCCAGCTCAGATGTGTTCTCATCTCCAGGGTGGAAACATCTACAGGCTCCCACACCCAGTGAAGGAAGACAGTGGGGCAGGCAGATGGTAAGTTCAGAAGCCCTCTCACCCTGGGCACTGCGAATCCTCTGTGGCTTCTCTCTATTGGCCTTGGGTAAGGGAGCTAGGTGTCTCCGGTCTTGAAGAGGACGCTTCAGCCATGGAGACTTTGAGTTTGCATTCCCCAACCCCCATACTCCCCACCTCCCACACCCCTTACCCCCCCCACCCCTCACCTCCCCCACACCCCGTTACAGGGTTTAGCAAGAGTTGTGAGTGGAATGGAGTTACATAAAAACAGTCAGTAGTCAGGGCTGGAATCTTAGTTTCGAATTTTTCTCTCCTGCCTTGTCTACACAGTCACCAGTCAAACGGGGGTCCCATGGACTGGACAGAGTCAAGGAGCACATTCATGTGCAAGAATTGCAGCCAGATGTTTTACACTGAGAAAGGGCTGAGCAGCCACATGTGTTTCCACAGTGACCAGTGGCCATCGCCTCGGGTGAAGCAGGAGCAGCAGGTAAGGGGGCACACAGTGGTTTCTGTGGTACAGGGTTTGACAGGCTCTGGGGAATGGTTGAAGTGATGGGCGTCGTGTATCGCAGGTTAAAGGTGGGAACCTGGCAGAGATGGCCGGGTGTGTCAAGGCTGGCTGCTCAGGGCTGTCATCAGGCTGTGCATGAGCAGCTCTTCAGCCGGCGGAGCCTGGCCCTTAGCCTCACAAGCCTGGCAGCCTTTCTAGCAGTCCTCGGGAGCAGCTCTTCCATCCCCTGGATGCTTTCCCTCAGAGAGCTGCCGTCTTTCTGCATTTAGGTATTTGGCACAGAGCTTTTGCAAACCCTGGAGATAGGCACCTATGGCCTAATGGGGACAGGCAGAGTCCCCCCAGGAGCCCAAATGCTCTTGGACAGAGGCTCTTGAGCCCCCCCCAGTGGGGGGGGCACAGTCAAGGTGGGTGCTTCTCTAGCCACTGCTTCCCACCTGCTGTGGAAGCCTTGGTTTGTACCCGCAGTCAGTCATTCAGCACTGGCCAAGCCCATTATCAGGCCCAGTGCTGTGAGTGCTGGGAACAGCAGCAGCTGCATGGCAGCCTAGGCCCTGACCCCACACAGCAATGATCCAGTTTGTGGGCCGGTACTGGGTCAGGCAGAGGGAACTGAGGAAACCTGAGGGGCCAGGCAGGGAGAGAGTCAGAGCTGAGACCTGGAGGAGGTGGAAGTGGAAACGGTGAGGGGATCATTGTGGTTACAGTGACCAGTCTTCAAGAGCTCATCTCCACCCAAAGGTCCAGAGTCAATGTCTGGCCATTGTTGGCTCATAGGAACTGCTGGTGTTTGGTGGAAATACACTCTAATTTTGTCATACTGTCACATGGTCTCTGGCCCCTACTCTTGAAATATTCATCATGGGAGCTACTAGGTTGTCCCCACACATCTCCAAATGGACACATGAGGAGGCTCTGGACTCAGGACGTCACCTCCAGATGTCTTTTTTGGCTCAGGTGGGATGGGTTGTGTGCAGAAGACCCTGCTCAGCCTCCTGTGCTGAGACCTGATATGGTCACGTAGGCATGTATCCTGCTTCCCTCTGCCCCCATGGCCAGCTTCTTTTTCCTGCCCCTGTGCAAGCTGGAGACTGAGTTGGTACATCACGTGACCTCACATGACACCTGTAGTTCTGTTCTCTCTTCTCCAGGAACAAGAGAAAGATGAAGAGAGAGACAGTAAGGAGAGCAGTCAATATAGAAAGCGGAAGAAGCGTCCCCAGCCCAAGGCCCTGTTCGCCCCTCCTGCACCCTCTGCCCTTGGGGAGCCAGGCCCAGGAGGGTACCACAAGAGCTGCCTGAGGCCTCCCATGTTCCTGGTGGATCATCTCCTGAAGGGCTTGTTCCAGTGCTCTCCTTACACACCACCACCCATGCTCAGTCCCATCCGAGAGGGCTCTGGCCTGTACTTCAACACTCTCTGTTCTACATCCCAGGCCAGACCTCACTTTCTCAGCTCTGTGCTTGGTGAGTAAGGCCAGACCACTGGCTCTGATCCAATCCAGGGTGCATCTCTTGTGGCCCATGCATTCCATATTGTCCCATCTGGTCCAGCCATTCTCTCCAGCCTTGTATTTACCTGCTTGGGAGACACAGAAATTCCTTAGAACTGTATGTGCTGCTCAGAAATTCCCCAGGGCTGCTCTGAGGCAAGCACCTTCTAGATGGTCTCTAATAGCCAGGAAAAAGCACTGAGGCCATTCAGCCTGCCACCCTTCTGTTCACCTCCATGACCACGCTATGGAGACAGATGGCATGCCATGCAGATCACCCATTTCTAGTGTGCAGGACTTGAGGCTGCTCTCCAGGCTCTGCGTCCTTCCTGCACTCTCTTTAGAGCATCTTTGCCACCACAGAAGCCTGTGCCCACTGGCAGCCACACTGCCCTTCTAGCTCTCATCCCCACTGTGCAGTGCCCCTCTCCCAGCCCCAGGCAGTCACTCATCTACTTCCAGTTTCTGTAGAGATGCTGGGTTAGGTGCTTCAGACAAGGCCTCATACAGTATGTGGTGTTTCAGGGTGTCTGTCAGAGCTTCATTTTTTAAAGAATATATTATTTTATGTGTATGAGTGTATAGCCTGCATGTATGTAAGTGCACCCATGTTGTGCAAAGTCTTCAGAACTCAGAAGAGGGTGTTGGATCCCCTGGAACTGAAGTTACTGATGGTGGTTAACCACCATGTGGGTGCTGGGACTCAAACCTGGGTCCTCTGCAAGAGCAGCCAGTGCTATTAACCACTGAGCCATCTCTCCAGCCCCCAGAGCTTCATTTTTATTGGTGAGTAATACTCCATTGGATCAATAGACCACACTTTACTATTCATCCATTGATGGGTATGCAAGTTGTTCCCACCATTCATCTATTCTAAGTAATGCTGTTATGAAAATTTGTGTACAGCTTTTCGTGAGGGTCTGTGTTTCTGTTAACCATTTAAGGAACTGCCACACTGTTTGTGCCGTTCATTTTTAATTCCCACCTGCAGTCCAGGGGAATTCTGATGCCTCCACCCTTTGCCTGCACAAAGTTGTAGACTGCTTTTTTCTAATCACCCTAGCAGGTTTCAGGTGCCTGCCACTGTGTTTTAATTTGCATATTCCTAACGGCTGCTGATGCCCAGCTCCTTTCCAGGTGCTTCTTAGCTGTTTGCCTGTGTTTTTCCTAAACCGATGGAGTTTAGTTTCTGCTTTTGTCGTTTGTACTCTTGGTGTTGTGTGTGATTAATTGCCTGGCAGAGGGTCACAATGAAAAGATATGCCCGTTTTCTCTGTGGCCCAGACAGGCCTTGACCTTATGACCCTCTGCCTCAGACTCCTGAGTAGCAGCGCTCCAATTTCCTTCTAAGAGATTTATAACTCTCTCTGTTAAAATCAGTTGACCAGGACTGGGGAGATTGTTTGGTTGATAAAGTGCCTGTTGCAAAAGCATGAAGACTTGAGTTCAACCCCCAGAACCTACATAAAAAGTTAGAGTACAAGCCAGGCATGGTGGCGCACATCTTTAATCCCAACACTTGGGAGGCAGAGGCAGGCAGATCTCTGTGAGTTCAAGGCCAGTCTGGTCTACATAGGGAGTTCCAGGACAGCTGGGGCTACAGGGAGACCCTGTCTCAAAAAGACCCCCCAAAAAGTCAGAGTACAGTGGTGTACACCCGTAACCCCAGCACTGGGGAGAAGGTACACTCCTGGGCTTGCTGGCTAGCCAGGCCAGTGAGAAACCCTGTTTCAAAAAACAAAGTGAACAACATTTGAGGAACAGCACCTGAGGGTTCCCACATGCTAGTATACACATGTGCACCCGCATGCTCACACACACATCAGTTGATCATAGATGTATGGGTTTTCCTCAGGCTTCTAATTCTGTCCCACTGATCTCTGTGCTCATCTTTGTGCTAGCACCACCATGGTTCGATGGCTGTAGCTTTGCAGTGAGTACTGATATAAGAAGCATGAGTTTGCCAACATTGTTCTCTTTTAGGATTATTTTAACTGTTATGGGTCCATTGCAGTGCCATAGAATTATAGGTAGCAGTGATTTTAATAGCTGCCGTGTTTATATTAATATGTATATCAAGTTGGGAAGTATCATCCAACACAGCTTTCCATCCATGAACGTGGAATGCCTTTCAACTTATTCAGACCTTGTTTCATCTTCTTCAGTCATGCTTTGTCAGTATATCTTTCACTCTTTATTTGTTATTTTTTTGAGATAGGATCTCTATGTCCAGGCTAGCCTTGAGCCCTCAATCCTCCTACTGATATCTCCCAAATGGTGGAATGACAGGCATGTGCCACCATATGCTGCAGACTAGACTCTTTTCCTTAGCAGAATCCAGTCAGATCTGACTCAGTTATCATGAGATACAGAAGCACTGCTGCTTCCTACCTGTGCACGTTTGGTGCTCTGATTAATTTATAAACAGACATATCAGCAGACACCAGTCTACACTGTCATCATTACTGCTTACATACCATAGTCTTAATTTTAGTCACATGGAAAGCTGAGGGAAAACAAGAATTGCTGCAGAGTTTCTGCATTACCATCTCTACATCTCTTCATTTATTCCTATGTACCTGAGTTACCATTGGGTGTTATTTCTTTTTTTTTTTTTTTTTTTTTTTTTTTTTGTATTTGCTTGGGGGCGGTGCTCATATGGGTGTGAGTGTACATGCTCATGAGTGCATATGCATGTGAAGGCCAGAGGACAACCATGAATGCTGTTCCTCAGACACCATCCACCTTTTATTTGTTTGAAACAAGACCTCTCACTGGTCTGGAGCTCACCAAACACGCTAGGCTTGGTGGCCAGCAAGTCCCAGGGACCTGGCAGTCATTAAAGCATGTGCCATTTCACACAGCCTTTTTTCTCTTTTAAACTTGGATTTGGGGGATGAAACCTAGGTCTTCATGAGTGACTGAGCCATTTCCACAAGACAGTACAGCTTTGCTCCTTTATGATGGTGCTATAACATATATTACATTTCTGGATGTTTTAGGCCCATAATATACATTTTCTCACACAGCTGATCTTTTAAGTTAATTAGTAAAGAAATTGAAATTATACTGCCTTTTGTAATACCTGAACAATTATTTTGAGTGTGAATTCACACCACTATCTGATGTCACCTGTTCTCATCCTGAGAAACTCAGCAACTCCCTAGTATTTCTTTTTAAAGGTAGTAATATAGAGGCTGGAGAGATGGCTTAGCAGTTAAGAGTACTGGCTGCTTGTGCAGAGGACCCAGGTTCGATTCCCACCCAGCACCCATATGGTGGCTAATAATCATCCATGACTCCGGTTCCAGAAGATCCGACACCCTCCCCTGACCTCCACAAGCATTGTGTGACACTGGTACACCTATCTACTTGCAGGCAATACACTCATGCTCATAAAATAAAAGTAATAAATAAAATTTTTTCTTAAAAGGGTTATAATAGCTGTAATGGTACATAATTCACATGCCCTACAATTTATCCTTTAACATTTAAAAAAATTGTGTATATGTGTATTGGAGGGTATGTGTACATGGGAATACAGCCTTGGAGCTGAAGTTACATGTGGTTGTCAGCCACCCAACATGGGTACTGGGTCCTTTGCAAGAACAGTATGTGTTCTTAACCTCTGAAACATCTCCCCAGCCCTGCAATTTATTCTATTAAGCTATATAACAGTTTGATGATTCAAAATGTTAATATAGAACTGGTCAATATCCCATAATTGCTTTTCAGACATCCTTCTCACCCCAGAAAGAAACTACTCCACTCTCTGTCATCAACCCTTTCTCATTCTCTTGCTGAGGTTTGGCCATGCCATGTACTCCGATTTCAAATGCACCGTCACAATGTGTGGCCCTTCCTGCCTGGCTTCCCTCAGTCCTGTTGAGTTCAGCCTCCATCTGTGCATGGGATGGACAGGGGTGTCTTTCTTCCTGATAATGAATAATATTCCAGCTGTAAAATTTCTCTTAAGCCAAGATTACTAGCAACAAAATTTTCTCAATTTTCTTTATATCTGGAGTCTTTTATCTACTTTTGTTTTTGAAGCTTAATTTCCTGATATGAGGCTCTTGCTTGACATTTGTTTTCAACACTGAAGTCCTACTGTCTTCTGACCACCATTGCTCCTGTGAGAAGTAAACTGTCAGTCTTTTATTATTATAATTATTTGTTTTGTTTTTGTTTTTTTTTTGAGACAGCGTCTCCCTGTAGCCCTAGCTGTCCTGTAACTCACTATATAGACCAGGTTGGCCTTGAACTCACAGAGATCCGCCTGCCTCTGCCTCCCAAGTGCTAGGACTACACATGTGCGCCACCACGGCCGGCTATGATTATTTTTATTTTATATGTATGAGTGTATTGCCTGCATGTAGGTAAGTGCACCCATGTCCTCCAGTGCTGTCAGATGTCAGAAGAAGGCATTGGATCCCTTGGAACTGGAGTTTCAGACAGTTGTTAGCTGCCATATGGGTGCTGAGATTCCAACCCGGGTCCTCTGCAAGAACAGCTAGTGCTCTTAACAGCTAAGCTATTGATCCAGCCCCATGAACTGTCAATCTTTTTTTTTTTAATGTGTATGCATGTATTGCCTGCATGTAGGTCAATGTACCCATGTTGTGCAATGCCCACAGAGGTCAGAAGAGGCTGTCAGATCCCCTGGGACTGGAGTTACAGACAGTTGTTAGCTACCATGTGGGTGCTGGGATTCAAACCCGGCTCTTCTGCAAGAACAACTGGTGTTCTTAACCGCTGAGCCATCTCTTCAGCCCCTGAATTGTCAATCTTAACTGGAGTTCCCTTGAAGATAATGAGACGTTTTAATTTTTGTTTTATTTTTATTGTTTTGATTTTGAGATTTTTATCTTTGACTTTTAACCTTTGCCTCTGCTTATTCTGTTTGGGGTTCACAGAGCTTCTTAGATGTGTATAAACCTGGGAGGTTTTCTACTGTTGTCTGTCTCTTCAACATCTGGTACAACCATGATGTGTTGTGTCAGTGTTCAGCACAGTCTACATCTCTCCAGGCTCTCTTCACCTGTCCTCACTTCTTTTTCATGCTCTTCAGATTCCATACTCTATTTGTTTGTCTCCAAGTTCACTGATGATTTCCTTCTGCCAACTCAAACACATTGAGTTTAATTTTGATCACTGTATTTTTGTTTGTTTTGGCCAGAACTCACTGTGTAGACCAGGCTGGCCTCGATCTTGCAGAGATCCGAGTACCTCTGCCTCCTGAGTGCTGGGATTAAAGGCATGTGCCACCACACCTAGCTCCTTTCTTTTTTAATTATGCAGTTCAAAAAAAATATTTTGTAATAGCCGGGCATGGTGGTGCACGCCTGTAGTCCCAGCACTTGGGAGGCAGAGGCAGGCGGATCTCTGTGAGTTCAAGGCCAGCCTGGTCTACATAGTGAGTTCCAGGACAGCTCGGGCTACAGGGAAACCCTGTCTCAAAAAGACCAAAAAAAAATTTTGTATTTGTTATTTTTATTTTATGTGTATGCATGTATTGCCTGTGTGTAGGTAAGTGCACCCATGTCATTTGATGCCCAAGGAGGACAGAAGAGGCTGTCGGATCCCCTGGGACTAGTGTTATGGACTGTTGTTAGCTGCTATGTGGGTGCTGGGATTCAAACCCGGGTCTTCTGCAAGAACAGCCAGTGTTCTTAACTGCTGACCCATCTCTCCAGCCCCCAAATTATGCAGTTTTTACATTCAATTTTCTTTTAAAAATTAAAGTTACATTTATTTATTTATGAGGGATGGGGGGACACATGTGGAGGTCAGAAGACAGCTTGTGGGAATCAGTTCATTTGTGGGAGTTAATTCTCTCCTTATACCATGTGAGTTCCAGGGATCAAACTCAGGTCATCAGGATTGGGAACAAGTACCCTCACCCACCGTGTCATCTCACAGGCCCTCCTTTAATTTCTTTAAGATGAGATCTGTGTGTTGGGGAAACCCCATGGTGGAGTGGAGTCCTTGCTATAGACCTTCCATTCCCTGAGCTGGGAGTTTCTGGGGAAGGGAGCTGGTCTTGCTTGGGAAGGAATCAGAGTCTCACTTTTTTTTTTTTTTTAAATCTTTTTGAGACAGGGTCTCCCTGTAGCCCCAGCTGACCTGGAACTGACTATATAGACCAGGCTGGCCTTGAACTCACAGAGTTTCACCCACCTCTGCCTCAGAGTCTCACTCTTACAAGATGAAGTCAAGTTGCTTTTTTAAAATGTGTGTGTGCATGCATGTGTGTGTACGCCATGTGTATGGAGGTCAGAGGGCAACTTGTGGGAATCAGTTTTCTTCTTCTACCACATGAGTTCTGGGATCTAACTCTGATCACCAGGCTCTGTGGCAGGTGCCTCCACCTGCTGAGCCATCTCATTGGTCTGTTAATGTACTATTTTAATACCTGTGTGTGATTTCCTTCAGGTTTATATTTAAACTTGCCGAGTTTTTTTCATCTGCTTTTTCAGATCTTTCTCCTCCCCTGGGGCCTTATAGGCTTGTTTTCAGTCATGCCCACAAAGGCAAGTGTAGAGTCTATAAGTCCCATCCAGTCAGTCTTGTTGACGCTCTCCCTTGTGTGTTTTCTAGATCAAGTGGACGGCTCCTTTGCCATCTTTGTGGTGAAGGACGACACGAAGATCAGCATTGAACCGTGAGTCAGGATGCTCAATGCCTAAGTCAATCCAATGAGGAGACTTTTCCCGAGCCCTGGCTGCAGTGTCTCCTTCTCCAAGGTCCCTGTTTGCCTGGAGAGGTCAGGCCCAGCAGCAGAGGTTCCCTGGAGAAGCTGTGGGTTTCCCCAGGAATAGGTAGGAAGTCCCATCATTCCTTCTGTCCAGACTCACACAGTTGGGCACAAAGGGCCAGAATGCCCTGGACCTTGAGGTTCTGGACAGACTTGGTGATAGTACAGTACATGATGCAGGAGCATTTGTGTGATGTGGTTGGACACATGTGGTCAGTAAAGCATGCATCTCCTTGTCTGGACCCCAAGGGAGGCTCCCCACATTAGAAATCTAGCTTTGAGAAAAAGAGGAAGAATGTTTGGAATTACCTGTGTGTATGTGCTGGGTGATAGGGTGATGAGCAGCCACTACGTCTGAGATGCTGCGATGGCAGCGAGCTGCTGTGGAGTAGGCTGCAGCCATGCACAGGGCACATGGTGCATCTCTACTGTTTCCCACATTAATCCCCCTTGTGTCTCAGGTGTCTGTGTATGGCCTCATTTCAGACACATCAACGTGGGAAGCCGGTTTCAGGCCGAGATCCCGGAGCTGCAGGAGAGGCTGCTGGCTAGGGTGGATGAACCTGTGGCATCTCTGGTCTGGAAGCCATGGGGAGATGTGATGACCAACCCAGAGACCCAGGACAAAGGTGGCTGAGGCTTTAGCTCAGACCCAAAGGCCCATCCTTCCCTGTCCAGTTCCAGGGAGTGTCCTTCTCCCTGAACACACCAAGAAGTGTGCCCTTGCCCGCATGTCTTCTCCCACACTGAGTTCTCCTGCCCCACCTCTCAGTTAGCCAGTACAGGTGCCAGGCCAGGTTTCTGCAGTTCCTCCTTGTCCCCTTTCCTCAGCCTGCCGTAGATGAGATGTAAGGGAAGAGGAGGTAACCAGTAGCCCCTCCCTGTGCTGTGTGTGCAGGTTTCTTCCCTACCACAGCCTGACTCTGTCTCCTCTCCCCAATGTTCTTGTTGGAACCACAGTGACAGAGCTCTGCAACATGGCATGCTCCAGCGTGATGCCTGGAGGGGGAACCAATCTGGAGCTCGCCCTGCACTGCCTGCATGAAGCCCAGGGCAGTGTTCAGGTGAGACCCTGGGCGCCCTGCTCTCTGGTGCCAGGCACTGCAGGTGCTTGGAAAGTCCAGTCAAGGGAAGCTGAAGGAAGGCTGCCTGGAAAAGGTTTCTGTGCTTGGCTTAATGCTTCACTGTCACCATCTGGGGATTCTTCAGACTTTCTGGATAGGAATCCTTACTTTCATTTTGCATCAGATCTCAGAAATTCTATATGGTGCTGACTGGGGTTATATTGGTCAGCAAGTCAAAATTTGAACCCTCACAGGGTGTATAGTTTAAGAGAGACAAAATATTAGTTTTTAAAATGTATTTGCTGCTGTGCCTGGTGGCTCACACCTATAGTTCCAGCATTTGGGAGGCTAAGGCAGGAGGATGATAACTTTGAGACCAGCCTGGGCTACAGTGTGAGGTTCTGTCTCAAAAAGTTGAGGGCTCGTGGTGCCGCTCAGAGGCAGAGCAATTGAGTGTTCACTTGGAGAGCGGAGGAGCCCTCCTCTGAGCAGCAGTCTCTGGTGGAGTAAGGAGCCTGAGCCTTACTAATCCACATACATCTTGGACCAACCAAGTCACAGAGTGAAGGCAAATATGACATCCTTCTAAGGTCTGCTTTTTGAGGCCCTTGTGTGCCCACAGACTGACTCTCCATCAGCCCAGGGACCAAGCCCTTGAACCAGCTTTGGGGCTGGGTAACTGTAGAAGACAACTGTTTTGTAATGATTGAAGGTTGGAGTGGGTTCCCAGTTACATTCCCTGTGAGTAATGCACACCTGCTGTCCTTCCAGGTTGCCCTGGAGACTCTCTTACTCAGAGGACCCCAGAAGACCCAGACTCACCCGCTGGCAGACTATCACTACACAGGTACCTGGAGAAAGGCCGCTGGGCATGAGCCTGGCTTGCTCTGCAGGGTCTGACGGCAAACTCCACCTCCTCTCTGCCTCTTGCTTGGCCTTCTCTTCAGGGCCCTTGCCTGCCCTCCTAGAGGGGCCTGTCCTCTTCAGCATGATTTAGCAGGCACTGTCTTGTGCTCAGTAGACCCCACCATCTGCTCCATTGTTCCCTCCAAGCTCTGCCCAGTGAGACAGCTATTCCTTACCAGGATGTGGGGGAGATGGACTTGGGTTGAGCGTTGAGCACAGCAGAGCCAGGTGGCTGGGCCCACTCGCCCTTGTTAAGCCACTGAAGCCCACATCTGTAACATAGGGATGGTGAGGGACCCACCTCTCAGGGGGTTTGTGATGACTGGCAGCCCGAAGTAGGAGGGTGGTCTGCTTCTTAGCCAGGGCTGTGGTCCCTCTGGAGAGATGTCCCACCCTGGCTGTGCTCCCTGGCAGGTTCTGACATCTGGACCCCCGTGGAGAAGAGGCTCTTTAAGAAGGCATTCTGTGCCCACAAGAAGGACTTCTACCTGATACACAAGATGGTAAGGCAATAGTGCTGGGGCAGCAAGCTCTGCTCCATACACCCCGCCCACCAGGACACTGACTGCTTCTCATCACTGTGGCTGGGTACTTACCCCTTTCTCTGTCCAGACTCAACATATGTCAGATTCAATGCATGAGACACTGTACATAACATTTTCTTTTCTGCTTTAAAATTTTGATTACATAAGGCTGCAAATAACCAAAGTACAAGATGGAAGATGTTTTCACATGCTTATGTCATGAAACCATTACCACAGTCAAGATAATGAGCATCCCTATAATGCCCAGCCCCTCCTCCCCTGGCAAGCCTTCACCTGTGTCCCTATGCCTCTTCCCATCCCTACTCAGCCTGAGTCTGCTTCCTACCACCATAAACCCAATCACACTTCCCAGAGCTTTGCATCAGAAGCAGTCAGACAACATATGCTCTGCTTTTCTAGTCAGAGTTCACTGAACTTTGTCTCTCTCTCTCTCTCTCCCCCCCTCCCTTTCCCCCCCTTAGATAGGGTCTCACAGTGTAGCCCTGGCTAGCCTGGAACTTGCTATGTTGACCAGGCCAGCCTCTCTTTCTGAGTGCTGGGATTAAAGGTTTGCAAGACTACTCATTCCAGAACTCATTTTCAAGGCGAGCAGGGGCTGGGCCTGACTGCTCTCAGCTGGGTCTGCACTCAGAGTTGCCCTTCCTGTGTGAGCCACTTTCGCCAAAGGCCTCAGAGACTCTGTCTAGTTTGGATGGTCCCATGCACGTCATTCAGCTTTAGTGAGTCCCAGTTGGTGAGCATGTGGCAATGGCCTGCTGGGATGTCATTACTCACCTGTGGGTCTTCCTACCAAGAAGAATTGCTGAGCGGGGGTCCTGTGCCCAGTGTGTTGGCCTTAGTGTTGACAGTTACTGTGTGGCTCCACTTTGGACTCCTCAACACCCAGGAGGACTATGCCCTCTGCCTTTGCCCAGCCACAGGCGGAAGTGTTAGGGAAGGGTTGCCACAGAATGCTAATGAGTCCCAGGTGGAGCACACATGTACGGTGCTGCCCACAACCTGCACCTGCTACTTCCCACCAGATCCAGACCAAGAGCGTAGCACAGTGTGTTGAGTATTACTACATCTGGAAAAAGATGATCAAGTTTGACTGTGGCCGAGCTCCAGGGCTTGAGAAGAGGGTCAGAAGAGAGCTGGACGAGGTAGAAAGAGCTGAAGAAAAGGTAAAGGAATTGAGAAGGGACCTGGGGTGCATCTCTGGTCCAATCAGAGGGTGGGAGAGGCTCCCAGGGGAGCAGGGGACATCTTTCTACATAGCATGCCTCCCTTACATGGGGACAGCAGTCAGCATTCTTGTTGTCTTTACCCCCTCTGCAGGTCACTTGCAGCCCTCGGGAGCAACCTAGCCACCGCCCAACTCCAGAATTAAAGATAAAGACCAAGAGTTACAGGAGGGAGTCCATCCTCCATTCCAGCCCAAGTGCAGCCCCCAAGCGTACCCCTGAACCCCCAGGCAGTGTGGAGAGCCAGGGCATGTTCCCCTGCAGAGAGTGTGAGAGGTACATGCCTTCCCTACTCACCTCTATCCACTCTCAGGCCTTGGGCTTCCTCAAGTTCCTCCTACTCTGACCCTCCGTGTCTTCTCAGAGTGTTTGACAAGATCAAGAGTCGGAATGCCCACATGAAGCGCCACCGCCTTCAGGAGCATGTGGAGCCCGTCAGGGTAAAGTGGCCGGTGAAGCCCTACCCACTGAAGGAGGAGGAGGAAGAGGAGGAGGAGGAGGAAGAGGAGGAGCTGGGGGCTGACATAGGCCCCCTGCAATGGTGATTCCCTGCTGGAACATAGTCTGCAAGGAGGGAGCCCCAGCCCTAAAACAGTGTCCCTGGGCCTCTGGGGGTTGTTTGGGGGCACCCCCTGCCCTCTCTGCCCCTCCACTGGCCAACTTTGCTACGCAAACTTAACTGGCATTTGGCCACTAGTGGGTGGAGAAGCTTTCAGGACAGTGCTCCAGTCCCTGTGGATGGCCAGAGGCTCCCATGCTCTAGGTTAATGGTCTCTCCTTTCAGTCCCAGAGGCTTGGAGCAGGGAGGCCTGAGAGGCTAAAGGTTGGCTCTGAATGGCTCTTAAATCTGAGGTGCAAGCAGGGGGCCAACATTGGTTAGACAGGAAACATGGGGCCCTCCCCAGGTGGGGCCTCCCTGCCTTCCCACCATCTTGGCCTTGCAATGACTGTATATTGTTAGATGTGTTTTTTACATATCTGCTTGTAAATCTTATTAAATTGGGTTCTTGAGCAGCTGTCTTCCGATTTCCCAGCCTGTGCACTCAGCAGAGGCATCTGAAGCACAGCCAGGGCCAGAGTCAGGAGGTGAGGGGTAAGGAGAAGGCAGGCACGGCCCTGTGTACTGTTCAGCATGCACTGCAGCCCTGCCAGGCAGTTCCCCGGCTGTCTAACCACACACACTGAGGTGAGAGGGACACAGCCTCTTTCCTCATGGAACTTCATTTTAGAAGAGGAGGCACACAGGTGACAGACAGTGACAGTAGTGTGCTTTTGGCCATGGCTGTGAAGGGTTGATGCAGGTGAAGCCATCCAAACCTTCATGGTTGTAGCTGGTCAGCTGTGAAATGAAGGAAGACCCCAGGCAGCCAGCAGAGCATACCTTGGCTGCATCCCAGGCAAGGACAGCAGCCTCTACCCCAGCCCCAACCTGCAGAAAGCAGGGAAGAGGGCTGTGTCCCTTCCTGTGTCTCAGTCCATCCCAGCACTGCAGAGAATGTCTCACCCAGGGAACATATCTCAGCTAAAACTTAGAGCCTGGCAGGGAGATGTCACAGCAGGGGTTGAATGTGGAGCTGTTGGAACACCCTGCTTGAGGGAAAGGGGTCAGGCCGCCCAGGAACCTGAATTGGCACCTCGCCCTTCCTGGTGACATACATATAAATCACTCATATGAGCCTCAGTTTCCCCATTGCATGGACTGGATCAAGAAGGCCCTCCATCACACACTGCTTGTCAGTGTGTCCTGTGGCCTGAGCTCTTCTGTCTACCCTGAGGCACTAACCTCCAACACTAGACATGCAAGTCTGAATTGAAGAGTTGAGGGTTGAGGGTGAATAGCTGCCTATTGCTGTATTACAGATTACTCTGAAAGGTAACATTTGGACAAGCTTTCACCCTGACTGGCTCCACAGGGTGGAACCGAAACTGCTCATGGCCATCCAGACTCGCCCCAGCTGCTCTGCGGTCAGAATGCAGGGCTGACCACAGGGAGGTTTGGGAAAGTCTTCTTGAAGAGTCAGGGGTTCCTTCTGCTTTGTCCCCTCACCAGCACCCACCCCACATAGCAGCTTTCTCAAATGGTGACCCCACATTCTCTGCTACACCTCTGGGGCTTGGAAAAAGACAGCTTCCTGTGCTACCCCACACTGTCAGGACTGCAGTCTTTGTGGGCGGGGCCCAGGAGCCTGGCCTTACGTAGAGGAGCCTTTTAGGATAGCTATAGATCTATAGAAAATCAGCAAACAGTACCAAAATTCCCAACACACATCATCCCAGCTTCCTCTATCAATACCTTACCATGCTGTGCTTGCTACAGTTAATGAACTATTGTCAATAAGTGTTAACTGAGATCCATGCTTTAGCTAGACTTCTTTCAATTATTTTTAGTTTTTGTGTGTGTTGTTCATATGTGCATATATGCATCTATGAATGTGTGCATGTGAGTGCTTGTGGAGGCTAGAGGTCAATGTCAGGTGTCTTCACTCTCCCTTATTTTTTTTTAAGAAATATTTTGTTATTTTTGTTTGAGTGTATGGCCTGCATGTATGTAAGCACACACATGTTGTGCAATTCCTGCAGAGGTGGAAAGAGGGCATCAGATCCCCTGAACTAGAGTTACAAACAGTTGTTAGCTGCCATGTGTGTACTGGGAATCGAATGCTGGTCCTCTGCAAGAGCAGCCAGTACTCTTAACCACTGAGCCATCTCTCCAGCCTCCCAAAATATGGAACACTTACAGATTTGCATGCCATCCTTGCACAGGGGACCATGCTAATCTTCTCTGTCATTCCAATTTAAGTATATGTGCTGCCAAAGCGATCACTCTTATTTTTTTTAAGTCTTATTTTATTTTATTGGTCTTTTTGAGACAGGGTCTCCCTGTAGTCTCAGCTGTCCTGGAACTCAACTCACTATGTAGACCAAGCTGGCCTTGAACTCCCAGAGATCCGCCTGCCTCTGCCTCCTGAGTGCTGGAATCAAAGGTGTGCACCACCATGCCCAGCATCTTATTTTATTTTTAATTAATGTATATGGGGAGGGGTGTGCATGTGAGTGCAATGCCCATGGTGGCCTGAGGTGTTGGATCTCCTGGAGCTGGAGTTACAGATGGCTGTGAGCTGTCCAACATGAGTGCTTGAATGGAACTCCTGTCCTCTGTAAGAGCAGTATGTGCTCTTAACCACAGAGCCATCTCTCTAGCCCCTCCTCATTTTATTGAGACAGAATCTCTCACTAAGCCTAGAGCTCAGTGACTTGGCCAGCCTGGCTGGCCAGCAAGCTCCAGAGAACTGCATGTCTCCACTCCGCCCAGTGCTGGGGTCACAGGCACATTCCGCAGGTTCTTATGTGGGTCCAGGGGATCCAAACTCAGGTCCTCATACTTGTGTGGCAAGCAGTTCACCTACTCAGCCCTAGACTTCCTTCACTTTCATCCACTATTCTGTTCCAGGATTCCACCCAGGATCCCACACTGGACTTAGCAGTCGAGCCCCCTTAGACTCCCATCGGAGGTGGCAGTTTCTCAGACTTCCTTTGTTTGATGACAGCTTTTAGGAGTACTTTACCCAGGAGCCATCTCCCCAGCTTTGCCCATGTCCCTTGACACACCCATTTCATTCTGTTTGTACTCCCTTTTTGGTATTGCAAGATACTCCAGAGTCATCATACAGGCTCGTGTGTGTGTGTGTGTGTGTGTGTGTGTGTGTGTGTGCGAGCGAACATGCAGGAGTCGGTTTTCGCTTTCCACAATGTGGTCCGTGGGAGCGAACTCAGGTATTGAGGTTTGGTAGCAAGCGCCTTTACCCGCTGAGCCATCTCAATGGCCCTTCCAGCTAGAAATAGAGACCTGGCCTCCCCAAGCCAATTCCATGGATGACCAGCAGAGGGCGCAAGAACAATTTCCTTTAAGACGATGACGCAATCGGAAGGGGGCGGGGCCAAACTGTTGGCCGGGTCAGAACCCTGAGCCATCACGTGAGCGTCAGCGGTCAGCTGACAACTGTAGTCTAGTTCTTCAGGGGCGGGGCGAGATGACCCAGGACTCCTGCTCATTGGTGGGAGGTCAAGCTTTTGGGCGGAACAGGGCTGTGATTGGTTTATGAGACATCACGTGGCGCTTGAGCCCTGGGGCTCTGGGAAACTAGTGGCTTGCCTTCCATGGGCCTGTGCGCATGCGTCCAACCTCCGGCACGGCGATTGGTGGCTGCGGGTCACGGTGTGCATCAGGCAGGGGCGGGCCTGGAAGGGGCGGGGCCTCCGCTCGAGGCAGCTGGTTGGTCGGCGCGGATCACGTGGTGCGGGGCCCCTGGGCGGAGGGCTGCGGGACTACGTCAACGCAGGCCCCTGAGGCCGCCGCTGCGTTGTCCGGAGCGCTGTGCGGAGTAGCTCCGCGGCGTCATGGCCAACTCCGGGAAGGAGGCCGAGGCGATGGCGCTGCTGGCCGAGGCTGAGCGCAAGGTGAAAAACTCGCAGTCTTTCTTCTCCGGCCTCTTCGGGTGAGCAGCGGGCGAGGCTCGGCTGTGTCGCAGGCCGGAGCGGGAGCAGCCGGGCGCGCACGTCCTCGGCACCTCGAAGGCCGAGGACACCTACTGAAGGTGGTCCCGCCTTTCCCAGCCGGTGACCGGGGATCGGTGCGGCCCTGGCTGCCGGGCTGGGACGGTACTGGGGATGAGTCTGAGGTGTCTGGGTGCCTGGGGTGAGTGGGCCCTTGGAAGGAGTGACTCCTGTTAAGGAGGCCTGGGCTAAGAGGTGGAAGAGACTCACTGGCGGAGACAGATGGATCTTAAGCTGGTTTGGACAAGAAAGCGATGAAAGGGAGGACGAGGCACCCAGATAACTGAAGCAGGGCAGAGGTCTGCTGGGTGGTCCACAAGGAGGTCTGAAGGGGTGACTCGTGTGCCTTAGAATAGGGTGGTGGAAGACAGAACAGACCCCAAGAGGTGGCAGGCACTTCACACAAAGTTTATGTCGACTTAAAAAAGTTGACCGACTTCAGCGGTGTGATGAGCTTAGAAGCAGCAAAGCCCAAGCTTGGGATGTGGTTCAACCATTTCTTAATCCAGGGGCGGGGGCTTAGTTTCCCTGAAAGAGAATCCCTGGAAGCACAGTAAAACAGAGTGCAGAAGTTTGCTTTGAGTGTGTGAGGTGTTCAGAACTGAGCCAGGCACCAGCTCAGATCTCTGGACTGCCCACTAGCCAGGCGGAAGCAGCTATGGGGCTCACTTCCCTACAGCACCTCCTTATTCTTCCTGGAGGCAGAAGGAACCAAATGGAATCTGCCTGCCTTTTCAAGGTGAGAGAGAGAGGCGTGGAAGGTGGGAAGAGAGACTGGAGGGGATCTAGAGAGAGGCCAATTAAGGGAAGGGAAGAGAAGGCCCAGGCCTTGAGGGGGGTCGGTTGGAAAGAGTTCTTAGAAGCCTAGGAAAGGAGTCCGGGGGAAAGAGCCTGGTTCTGGAAGAGACTTATTAGTCAGTGGCAGTTGAAAGAAGGGGAAGGCTCTTTCCAGGAAGAGAGGGACCCATCCCATTGTTATTTGAGGTCAGATACTGTTTAGCAGAACAACTTGAAGCATATGAATCAATTTCTGCAGTGTGTAGAGAAACACCTGGGTTCTGATGGGTTGTGTGGACTAGACAGGAACAGAGGCCCAGAGGGACTCTGGGTGTGTTTCTTCCTTCTTCACAAGAGGAGAAGTTCAAACCCAGTGTTTGGGGGTGGAGCCTAGAGCTCGGATTTCTGCAGTAGTTTTCCTGGTGACACTGTCTGGTCTCTTTTGGCCGGAGAGATAAGTGTACAGTTGGGCCCTTGGCAGGATGCAGCTATTGGTGCCTGAGACATTTACCACCCACTTACCACTTCCCAATCACTAATAAAGCAAAATTATCAGTGGGGACCAGCTTGTGTCGTTGACACAGAGTTCTTGAGCTGGGAGGAAACTGAGAGCTGGAGGGGGTTGGGAGTGAGCTGGGCACTGACGAACTCTGGGATGTGGGAAGGGAGCTCAGATCTGGAAGAGCTGTCTTATCTAAGCAACAGTGGTAGGGACAAAGGTCTCATGTGATCAGAATGACTGGGTGGGGGCTGGGAGAGCTTCCTAGAGGACAGGACTCCACCTGGGGGCTAAGCAGGAGATCTGGGGGGTGCTCCCTGGTGAGGAACAGCACTCCAGGCAGAGGGGACAGCTTGAGGCCCAGAGGCACAAGGCCACGTCCCGAAGGGTTAGAGTTGGCAGGGAGTTCCACATCAGATCATGATCTTAGGAGAAGTGGGGAAGAGAGGCTGGACCCAGTTGAGGCCAGTGAGCATGGGCTTGGACTTGAGGTACTGGAGGGGCCTGCAGCATTTTAGCAGGAGCCTGTCCTAATGGGCTCCTGTTTACCAGCTAGTGCGGGGACAGTGATACGGGAGGCTGTTGGGGTGACAGTAATGTCTGCTTAAGCACTAACTCTGCTTCCCAATCCAGCCTAGGCCAGGCACTTATCCTTATGTAGCTTACACACAATCCTTGTGGTTTCTGGTAAGGGATAAAGGGGGCTTAAATTCCATTTATTTGTCCAGCAGCACAGGAAGCATGGCGCGTGATGGTCAGCCTTGGCCTGTGTACTTCCACAGCCCTCTAGACTAGCCTTGGTGCTTGCTGTACCCCCATAGCAGTTTCTCCCTGAGACTCATGCCCATTTTTGGACACTGCATTTAGGAGGGGTGTCAGCAAACTGGACAGCTGTTTCCCTCTCTCTGCTCCCTGCCCTGTTTTCTACAAACATTTGAAAGAGTAGGCAGGTTCCTGCTGGTCCATTCCACCTCCAGGAAGAGTCAAGGAGGTGCTGCAGGGAAGTGAGCAGGGCCCACTGGAGCCAGGGTGCTGGAAGCTGGGTGTTAGGCACCGAGAGTCAGTTGGAGAGACTCCTCTTCACTGGCAGAAGGGCCCAGCCCCTCCCCCTGGAGCTCAGGCTGCCCAGGTAAACATTTGACAAATGGCCTTTGCTCAAGGCCTGCAGGAGGGAGGGCTGGGATGCAGCTCCTCCCAGGGGCTTCTCTGCTCATGCTTCGTGGGTCAAGTAGCCTGTCACCCTGGCTGTGGTGGCATCAACCACTTTTGCTCTTTGGTAGTTCTAGCTGCTAGGTGGCCTTGAAACTCCAGCCAGTTTAAGAGCAAAACTGTCTCCCTTGGCAGTGGGCACATCTGGGAGTCTGGGCATTTTTTCAGCTCCCTCCTACTCCTGCACCCCATGGTCCAGAGACAGCCCTATGGGGACTAAACAGGTGCTGAAGGGCAGTTCTGTTCCCTAGACTCCTGACCCTAATTTCTCCCTGCTGCATTTCCTTATAACACCCTTTTCCTCTGGAATGCCAGTGCTTCTGGAGTTTCTTCGTCTGCAGAGTGACCCCTGCCTGCCAGGGTTTTCCTACCAAATGGACAGGCAGAGTAAACAGACTGATGCCGGGCCTGGCGAGGGCCCCTGGCTCCAAGCATGTATATGAGGTACTCACCTGAGCAATCATTACAGTCAGCACGACGTTTTCAGCACTATGCGTTGAACTGGAGGCTCTGGGGAACTGGAAACTGCAGGGTGTCTATACAGTGTGTTCCTCAAGATGAGATGTTGAAAGCCAGTTTGAACTGCCCACGGGCAGCAGGAGACCCCAGGGCCAGCTTTGGAAGAGAGCTGGACTTGAGCTTTGGGAAAGAGCAAGCCAGCCAACTGGGCTCACAGACGTCTGCTGAGCCTGGGGCAGCCTCAAGCTTTGTATCTGCTCCCCTGCCACCTGCAGAAGCCCTTGATGCCCCTTCCCACTGTGCATTGTGGCTGCTGCCTGCTGCCAGGAGCCACAGCTGAAAGCTTGGCCGCTCCGCTCAGTCTGCAGGGCAGGTAGGGTTTCTTGGGGAACTGGAATTCCTGGCTTGGTCACCAGATGGCCTCTGCTGCCTGGTGGAACAGAGATTCTGGTCTGGTGTGTGGAGAGGATGCTGAGAAGCCAGGGGCATCCTCAGCATCTTTGGAAGTGCTGTCTCTCTGGACTATGATGAGCATCATCCTCTTGGGGCATAGAGGAGCAGCAGTGTTGAGGGGGACATACAGGTGCTGGGATCCCCTTCTACAAGGTGGTGTGGCATTTATGTAAACCTACACAGCCTCCTGCACCTGAGCCACCTACAAGTTGATTCTTTACATAACTCAGATGTATCAGAATTGCCTGCCACCGCCCTGGGGATGCTGACAAGGGGAAAGCCTGGACTCATTTGAGGGCAGGTGCAGCTTTTGAAAACATTTTGTGATTGCAATTGGTTGAATCTGTGGTTGGAGACAAAGGGCCATTTTCGGGGGGTTGTCAGACTAGGAAGGAGAGACCTGGGACCCTGGAAGCCAAGGAGGAACAGCGTGGAGCTCCTCAGGAGGAGGAGATTTTGGAGCCCACGCCAGCTCTTTCAGTAGGCAAACTTTCCTGCATCTACACCCTCCCTCTGTGGGGTCTGATGACAGTGACACCTTTGCTTCCAAGCACCTGTGCGTGGCAGCAGCCAGCAGTGTGTAGCCCTGTCCCTGTGACAGGGAACCCAGAGGTGGCATGGGTGCATTGAACCCACATTCCAGCCCACCTGACCACCTCCTGTTGATTGTGGCACTGCAGGCCACTTTAAAGTATCTGTGGCAGGGTGGCTGGCACCTCTTGGGTGTTTCCTCTCCTCTGTTTGGTGGTCATTTAAGCACCTGCTGGGTGCTGTGCCCAGACCAAGTACTGAGTATGTGTTGTGTCTCCCAGATCATGGGGTCGCGTTCATAGTCTCCACTGTCCTGCTGAGACGAGGTTCTGGATTAGTAGCCCAGGGTCATAGATGCTCACGTGCCAGGGTGGGGGTTGGGGGGTGCCCCCACCATGCTTTCTGCTTCTGACTCTGCAGAGCAGATACATGCTGAGAGGGTCCTGAGAGGACTTCAGAGCTGGGCCAGCGTTAGTGTTTCATCTTATTGGGACCTGAGCAGTGGCTGCCAGAGAGCTCACAGGGAGATGCTGCAGAGCCAGGGAGGCCAGGAGAGGGTTAGGGCTGGCTGGCAAGAGACAGCTGTCAGCAGAGCAGCTCGACAGTGACCCTTCTGTCTTGGTCCGTCTGCCTGTGGGGGCTTGGTGGAGGCTGGCTAAATGCTGCTTCCCTTGCTGGAGGATGCTCAGTATGCTCAGGCAGCTCCTGGTGAGCAGAGTCCTCACCACTGCAGCCCTGCACTGTACATTGTTGCCTCTGGAGGTGTGGGGTAGGCATGTACTTGGCCACCCCCTCATTTTTCAGAGGACTCTGAGGTTCTAAGAAGTGGTTCCTCAGCTCCAGGAGCCGTGGAGGGTGGTAACAAGCCCTAGGTCCATCCTCTTGCTGAGCACTGAGTACCCTGACTAATCTGGCCTGTGAGCCTTCAGTCCTAGGAGAGACCTGGAGACCAGTGGCTGTGGCTGCCAGAGGGACAGACTTCAGATGCAAGCTGGGGAGCTGTTCTGCTGTCCAGCTTCTGGGAGCCGAAGGAATGGAGGTGGGAGGTAGGCAGGCCAAGCCTGCCCTGCAAACTCCTCTAGCTGCTGCTGCCAGCGCCTTTCCTGGCAGCACTCAGCACTCCATATGGCAGCTGTGCCTGGGAGACCTGAGACTGCTTCCTTCAAGCCACTCCAGGAGGGGGAGAGCATAACTGAGCTTGTGGTAATTATAGCCAGCCTGCACCAGGCTGGCCCCAACCAGCTCCCTCTATTCCCAGCGAGGCACTGAGCTGTGGGCTGAAGAGTACAGCCAAGGCAGCTTGGAGGAGGTCAGTGGGGGAGGCCTGTCATCTGTCACCCTCATTGCCGCCCAGGCCCTTGAGGAGGAGGCCTGCAAGCCCTTGGGGTGTCACGCAAGAGTCTTCAGTTCTAGTCAGGCTACCATAGAGGGGTGACCTAAGACAGACAACACACCCAGACCTGGGACAGGAAGCCTCAGTGAGCTATGCAGAGAAGACAGCTTAGTGTGGTACATCTGAGGGCTTTGTGTCAGTCATGTCTGAGCAAGGCCTCTACTCTGTAGTGTCCCCTGCATGCCCCTCCAGCCTCGTTTGTGCCACTCTTAGCACGAGAGCCCATTTCTCTTCTTCAGGTCACTAAGCATGTTTCTGACACAGGGCCTTTGCACAAGCCCTCAGCACTGCCTGGATGTGCCTCCCTATTATGTGGTGGCTCTTGGGCCACTTAGCCCCAGTCTCAGACTCTCAGGTTCAGTCCCCCACTCTGCAGCAGCTCTGAGTGGGCTGGGCTTGGTGATAGAGTGGAGGGCAGGCTTCCTCCTGTGAACAGTCATCCTCTTCAGATTCTCACGTATTTGTTCCCCAGCTAGAGAAGTGTGCACATGGCTTCTTTGGGATTTGCCAGGTACACCTACAAGAGTCAGTCTGCCCCTTGAGGACTTCCCTGCCATCTCTTAAAGAGCTGGGACTGTGGAGATCTGCCGTCACCTCACAGAGGCAGGGCTGGGACCAAAGTATAAGGACAGGAGGCAGCCTGGGGCGCAGGCAGGCTGTAATCCCTGTGGCTTTTCCTGCAGGAGACAAGTCAGCACAGCTTAGTATGGAATCAGAGCTGCAGCTGCAGACTTGAGCTGAATCCGCCTGTCAGGCTGAGCTAAGCAGACCTGGCCAGCAGCTACTGCTCTCATAGCTGTTCCCCAGCTCCGGCCTCTCAGTACAGCTGACCAGGAGCCTGGGCCTTTTCAGAGGGCATCAGGGGCTGTGTAGTATTCAGTTGCACCCACCAAGAAAAGACGAATTAGGGGATCAGTGAAATGGGCAGACCTGTGATTAATGTCTGTGAGCATGTCCTCTTAAGAGATTATTCCAGGGGCTCAGAGCCCTGGGTTCAGTCCCTAGCACCACTTAAAACCAAGCAGGAAGGCAGGCCTCAGCTACATAGCAAGGTCAGGGCCAGCCTGGAATCCTGAGACACATGAGACCCCATCAGAGAAAGAGAATATGAATATTGCTGAGGCTAGAGGTATATGTTAGTGGCAGAGCTCCTGCCTAGCACATGCCAGGCTCTGGCTTCTATTCCCAGTACATCCTGAAAGAACATTCCAAAACACCACTCCTGGGGCATTTTGCACAGGTCCACAGGGCCTCCCAACAAGAGGTAATGTGTACATCTCTGACCTCTCTGTGGCCAGGGGTTTCTCCAGAGAAGATGAGGGTGGTTATTCTACTTTGCTTTCAGTTGCTCTAACTAAGCACTCTGACTAATACCAGCTTGGGGCAGAAAGGGTTTATTTGACTTACATCTCCAGGGTCAGTTCGTCACTCAGGGAACCCAAGGTAGGAACTAGGGCAGGAACCTGGAGTCAGGAGCTGGAGCACAAGCTACGAAGGAAGGCTGCTTTCAGGCTTGCTCCGCTGGCCCATGCTCAGCCTGCTTGCTTATACAATGCAGAACAACCTGCTCAGGGGTGGCACCACCTACAATGGGCTGCATCCCCCCTCCCCCATCACTCAACAATCAAGAAAATGCCCCACAGACTTGGCCACAGGCCACTCCAATAGAGACAATTCCCCAGTTGAGGCTCCCTCCACCCAGGTGTCAAGTTAACAACTAAAGCTACCCAGCACAAGGGTGTTTCCCATGTGGTTCATGTGGGAGGAGCTCAGACTGGACTCTGTTGGAGGAGGCACCTCACCTGGTGTGGTTTCCATTCAAGACACCTGCCAGCCTTGCTCGCCCCTCTACTTCAGGCCATTTGCTAAAACAGTGGTCAGACTTGCCCAGTCACCCAGATCACCTCATCCCTCAAACTGCAGTGGTTAAAAGCCTAAAACAGGCCCACCCAGACCTGCTGAGCAAGTGTGCTGCTGTGTGACTGGGTGCTGCCCCACGCTCTTCGAGGCTGAGGTCAAGTTTGGGTTGCACATGTGCAAAGCATTGTGAAGGGTGCCTCCAGCCTGGTCTCCAAGGCCCCCACAGCTATGAGATGAAGCCAAGACAGAGGATCGGGGAGGGATGTAGGGCTTTGAGCTCCTAAGGAGGGGAGCCACCCACCCAGGAGGAGATTCATCTGAACCTCTTACATATTGAGAAGCCAGAGTAAAGCCCAAAGAGGCACCCTTTATTTTAAAATGACAGCATGAGTCTGGCTGGGGATGGAGCTCATTGGTAGAGCACTTGTCCAGTGAAGCCATGGGTACGATTGTGCAAGCCTGTAATCCCAGCACGTAGGCAGTGGAGGCCAGAGGATCCAGGAGTTCAAGGCCATCCTCAGCTACATAGAGTTTGTGAGGCTACCCTAGGCTACATGGGTCCCTGGAGATAAAATGTACAGATGGTTCAAAACAAAACTAGACCATGCACATGGGGTATACAGTGAATAAGCCAGCCTCCTACACGCAGCCCCCAGTTCTGCAGACTCTACCTTTGGAAACAATGCTGTTACTAGGGTTCTGTATATTTTTCCAGAAACATTCTGTGTTTGTATAAATACGCATGTTTCTCTCACCCTCTTAATTTTTTTTTTTGATGCAAACAGGACTGTTTTATATTTATGTCTTACCATAGTGCTTCTCTGTATGCCTGTATTGTGCCATATCTGCCGTGTTTTCAAATGTGACTCCTCTTTCTGAACCGAGGGCAGAGTACAAGGCACCAGGTCAGAGCACTGGGGAAGCGGCGGGGTTCCCTCAGCTGGGAAAATCCTCCAGAATGCTTCGCCACCTCCTGAGGATCAGAGTCTGCGAAGTGCCCTGGTCCCAGTGATTAACCACAAGCTAGGCAGGGGGTAGAGGAAGAAGGTCAGGAACCCGCCACCACCAAGGTGGGTGCCCACTCAGCCCCACCAGGGAGGATGCCAACAGCCTTTGCTCCTGCAGACAGTGCCTGCGTGAGGATGGGGCCAGCTTGGATGGCCTGGGGAGCAATCTGGGGCACAGTTCTGCCACTCATCCCAGGGCAGAGCATGTGGCCTAGACTGGATGGTCTCCTTACCGCCTCCCTTTTCTTCTCCCCAGAGGCTCATCCAAAATAGAGGAAGCATGCGAGATGTATGCCAGAGCGGCGAACATGTTCAAGATGGCCAAGAAATGGAGCGGTGCGTGCCCTTTCCTTCTCCTTCCCTCCCTCTGGCCCACAGGCCTAGCCCAGCACGTGGCCTCGAAGCCCCTCTCTGATACCAGGAGCCTATAGACCCAAGGCCAGCAGGATGCTTTGTCCCTTAGGTCAAGGGGGCCAGGGTAGAGTGAGGTGCTTCCTGAGGGGAGGGGACAGAGAGGTTCCTCTGTAGGGGCAGCCTACTGATGGTGGACAGGCCCTGAACCAGTGGAGCCCAGCTGAGGCATCCACCTTCAGCAAGATTGACTCAAGGAAGTCAAGGGGCAGAGAGGAGTATCCCTGAAATGGTGGAAAAGACTGTGGGGAGGTAGACCCAGTTACTGTCACACCCTGCAGGTGCTGTTCCCAAAGTCCTTGAGCAGAAAGCCAGCCATCCAAAAGCATAGAGCACGGATAAGGAAGGCTTTCTGGGGTTTGTTTGGTTTTGTTTGTTTTGGGTTGTTTGGAGACAAGGTCTCACTGCATAGACCTGGCTGGCCTCAAAGAGATCCATCTGCCTCTGCCTCCTGAGTGCTGGGATTAAAGTCATGCACTACCACACCTGGTTTGTTGTGTTTGGTTTTGGGGTTTTTGTTTTGTTTTGTTTTGTTTTGTTTTGTTTTGTTTTTTGGTCTTTTTGAGACAGGGTCTCCCTGTAGCCCCAGCTATCCTGGAACTCACTGTGTAGACCAAGCTGGCCTTGAACTCACAGAGATCCACTTGCCTCTGCCTCCTGAGTGCTAGGATTAAAGGCATGCGCCACCATGCCTGACTAGTTTGTTTTTTAACAATGAAACTTTTCTGATTTTTTTTTTAATTTTATATGTACGAATATTTTGCCTGTATGTATGTAAGTGCACCACATTCATGCAATGCCTACAAAGGCCAGAAGAAGGCATTGGGCCCCCAGAACTGGAGTTAGGACACTTGTGACCTGCCATGTGGGTGCTGGGAACCAAACCTAGGCCCTAAGAACAGCTAGTACTTTTAACCACTGAGCCATCTCTCTAGCCCTGGAACTTCTACTTTTTAATCACATGTTGAGCTCCTGCCCCACCCCATGTTCAAAAAGAAGTCTTAGACCATTTATTCCCTGCTCTCATCCCTTTTATTGAACTATTTGGAGCTCTTAAAAATAATGAGAGGCAGGCCAGGCGTGGTGGTGTACGCCTTTAATCCCAGCACTCGGGAGGCAGAGGTAAGTGGATCTCTGTGAGTTCAAGGCCATCCTGGTCTACATAGTGAGTTCCAGGACAGCTGGGGCTACAGGGAGACCCTGTCTCAAAAAGACCAAAAAAAAAAAAAGAAATAAAAAAAAAAAAAAAGAAATAAAAAAAAAAAAAAAGTAATAATAATAATAATAATAATGAGAGGCTGAAGAGATGGCTCTGTGGTTAAAGCACTGGTTGCTCTTGCAGAGGATCCAGGTTTGGTTCCCAACACCTACATGGTAGCTAATAGCTGACTATAATTTTAGTTGCAGAGCATCTGATGCCCTCTTCTGGCCTCCACTGGCATTGAATGCACAGGTGCACTTATATACATGCAGGCAAGAGACTTATACACATGAAATAAAAATAAATAAAATCTTAAAAAAATATATATATAGAAATGGGAATGTGGTGGGACACAACTTTAATCCCAGCACTCAGGAGGTGGAGGCAGGCGAATCTCTGTGAGATGGGGTCAGCCTGGTCTACTTGGACTCAGGTTCCTGTTTTCCTTTCTAAGCAAGGACTCCTGGTGGGGATGCACTCTGTGTTGCCTATCACATCCCAGTGGAGCATTGCAAGGGTAGAGAAAGAGCAGAGGACAGGCCTGGGACATAGGATGCGCTTTGGGAAAGTGTGGAGAAAAGGAATGGGCTAGAGAAGAGAGCAAGTGGGGAAGGCCATGTAGGTTAATCTCACCTAGCCTTGCCTCCCCAACCACTCCTCCCATACCTGTCCTACTAGCCCATGTCCACCTTGCCTTCTATTGGGTTCTGGGCTCCATGGTTCAAGAACCTGGGCTTCCATCCTTTGCAGGCCTTGGCTCTGCCTGCCTTCTCCTGAGGTGCTGGGGAGCCTGGAGTGGAGGGCATAGCACTGGGCTCACCCTGGCTGTCTTTCTGTGAACCTGGGCCACCTGCCTCCCTCACTTGGGTCTGGGGTTGGGTAGACCTGAAGACCAGGCCTCTGTTGGGGTCCTGTGGGCTGATCCTCTGGGACTGTTGCTACATTCGCAAAGGAATGATGTGCCTCCCAGGACAGGGACTGCAGCCCACTGAAATTGGGACAATGCGTTCTCTTGCAGCTGCCGGAAATGCTTTCTGCCAGGCCGCCCAGCTGCACCTACAGCTCCAGAGTAAGCATGATGCAGCCACCTGCTTTGTGGATGCCGGAAACGCTTTTAAGAAAGCTGACCCCCAAGGTGAGGGCCTGTGGGTCATGCCACCTGCTGCCAGAGCAGCTGAGCACCGCCCTCCTCAGTATCTATGCAGCTCGGGGATTTTCCAGTGGCCAGCACAGTATAGGCTAGAGGCAAAACAAGCCCTAATTTCAGAATTGGTCGGTCCTTGGCTGGCACTGGCATCCTGCCCCAAGTCCTGCCTCCCCCACTCCTGTGTGCACCCCCCCAGGGGGGCCCGTGAGCATTTGGGAGTGGGAGTTCCATTTCAGACCCACAGCCTGCCAGGGAGTGAGGCAAAGCTGTTCTGTTGTCAGAATTAACATGCAGAAGGCAGCGGGGGTGTTCTGAGACCAGTCAGGTAGGAGTTGCTGCTGAGAAAGGAGCAAGGAGCGGAAATTAGCCTGACCTGGCTTCTCTGCACCCCAGGGAGAAGCAGAGAGAGCAGCACTTCCATTGAGTTGCCAGGGACAGGCTTCTTCCCACAGAATCCTTCGGGGACAGGAGCCAGCCTTGGACTATGTCCCTAACCTCATCCTGAGCTGGACTAGCCCATGCCCCCCAGGCTTGTGCTTCCCAAGCTGGGAATGTGACTTTCATTACTTTCTTTTTAAAATAAATTTTTAAAATTTTATGTGATCTGTATGACTGTCTTGCCTGCGTGTAGGTAAGTGCCCCCATATCATGCAGTGCCTGCAGAGGACAGAAGACGTCATACCTCCTGAAACAGGACTTAGGGACGGTGGTTAGCTGCCATGTGGTGCTGGGAACCAAACCCAGGTCCTCTGCAAGAGCAGCCAGTGCTCTTAACTGCTGAGCCACCTCTCCAGCCTCACTTTCATTATTTTCATTCAGTTATTTCAGTTATTTTTATGGTGCTGATGCTGGAGCCTGGACCTTACGTAGATGGAGCAGGTGCTGTACCTGTGGGCTGTGCGCCCAGCCCCCATAATATTTCTTTTTTACACCTTAGTATCAAGCATAGGTTGCTAATTTTACGTTTTTAGCAAGCAAAGACTTTTTAAAAATTATATATTCTTTTTATGTGTACGAGTGTATTGCCTGCATGTATGTGAGTGTACCTGTGTCTTGCAATGCCACGGAGGTCAGAAGAGGGCTTTCGGAATCCCCCGGAATTGGAGTTAAGGACGGTTCATAGCCGCCATGTGAGTGCTGGGACTTGAACCCGGGTCCTTTGCAAGAGCAGTCAGTGCCTTTAACCACCGAGCCATCTCCCCAGCCCGGCAAAGACATTTTTAAAAAATGGATCATCTAACCTGGGCTTGGTGCTGCATACCTGTCACCCCAACACTTGAGAAGCAGAGGCAGAGGGATCAGGAGTTCAAGCACATCCTCAGCTGGTGACTACATAGTGAGGTTTGAACCCAGCTTAGACTGAAAAAAAATAAAAGAAGAAAAGTCTAGCATCCTGTCCCCTCAAAAGAATGAAAACTGGGTGAATATTCTTTCCAAAGGAGGCACTTAGCATTGGGAAAAAGGCTCCCCCTGGGGAGAGGGCAAGAACCACTGCTTTCCCCAGCATCATTGTTGTGGAAGTCCATTCCCAGTGAGCGAGATGACCTCTGTGTGGACTCTCGCCAGAGGCTGACCAGTCACTCCTCTTCATCTGTGATGTGGTGGGCTTAGACCTGACAAACCAAGGAGAGGGCCTGGTGACTGGGTAGGACTTGAATGTATCCACCTGCTGCCCTGTGGGTGACTCCAGGTAGCCCTGGGGGTTGTTTTCAGCTCCAGTCACCCCAGGCTCTGGGAGGTGTGGCCCTCTCCTCCGCACAGCCCCTTCCAAGCCTTCTCTTCTGCTCCCCGGGGAACTGGTCGTCCTGGAGACGCCTCATAATGACTGTGCCTCTCAGTTACTGCTCCATCCAGAGTGGCTGGGAGAACGAGATCCTGGGTGGTGGTGGCTGCCAGCCTGTGGGATGCCTGGCACTGAGTGTCCTTTGAACAGAGCCGTGCCTCCTGCTGTAATGTGGTCATGTCCTTTTGCTCTGGGGATGCGGATATGGGCTCAGGCCTCAGAGGGTGGCCAAGCAGGCTCAGGCTGACTACAAAGTATAAGGATGCTGTGTCAAGGGCATGAGGGTGGGGAGGGGAGCTTGCTGGGCCCTTTCCTGGAGGAGGGCACAGCTGAGAGAGGAGAGCTTCTAGTACTAAGGGTTTGTGCTAGGCAGAGAGGGCTGATGGCTATGGTGGCATCCATCCCCACTGCCTTGGTATTAGTCACAGCTCACAGATGAAGGGAAGAGGGTGTGTTTGCATGGAGGACAATGGCTCTGTGTCTGCCAGGGCATCCAGAGAAGGGTGTGATACAACAGGGGAGGGGATCACTGGGTGACCTGAACAACCCAAATTCCTGCCGCCGCCGCCCCCCCCTCCCCGTGCTGGGGATAGAACCCAGGGCCTTGCACCCACTGAGCTGCAGCCCAGCACCCCTGGAGTCCATAATGGGACAGCCCTGGGCTCCAAGCCTCTACCCTGTGTCTAGGTGACCTGGGAAACAGCTAGAGAACCAGTGGAAGCCTGACAGTTTCTCCTGGCAGAGACCACCTCCCTTAGCCTCATCCACTTGCTTTCTTTAGGAATCTCCTGAGGCCTCCAATGAGTGGCAGCCAGGTGCCTGAGATACCCTCTGTGTGTGTGCGTGGGTACCTGGGGCAAGGAAGTGGGCCAGCCCTACATGTCCTTCCTCTACCCCCACACCGCTGTTCCCTCAGTGCCTCCTGCATATAAGACACCTGGCGTTTTTCCACCCATCGCACCTCCTGTTGGAGCCTATGATTTGTCCTGTTTTATTGAGGACAGTGTGTGCTGAGGTCTGGGTGTGACCAGGGGCTTCAGGGTGACATAGAGGTGAGCTGAGCTTGTTCCTCGCCTGCTCTTTGCAGCTGAGCACCAGGGGGTAGGGGTGCACTCAGGCCTGTGGCCTCAGATAAGCCCCTTGTTAGTGAGATTTTCAGAAGCTTGACCAGGAGCAGTCCAGAATATCAGCTGGCATCTGCCACCTTCTAGAACAGCTGTTCCCAGAGCAGCAAGCCGGCATAAAGGGAATTAGCCCTATGAATCCATGTTCCTCCCTTGCAGTCTTGGCAGGGGTTGCACTGCACAGAGCCTGTACCAGCAGGCCCACAGCTACTGAAATCTCCCCAGAGAGTGACCTTACTGTGGGCTGCAGGGTGCCAGGAGCTGAGGCCAGCGAGGTGCCGTGTGGGTAGTGCCCCACAGGCTGCTGGCTTGCTGTTGCTTCCTGACTTGCTGTGCCACAGAATCTGCACGTGTGCGGGACCGTTGAACTCCTGTTTCTTTCCCTTCCTTGGGTCTTGGGCATTGGGCCATCAACCTCTGAGCCTTCCTCAGGGCCCAGAAGCCTTTCAGGGTTGGACAGAACACAGACCCTTAGGGCAGTGTTTTGTCTTCTCCATGTGCAGGGGGGAGAGGGTTATGGACCCCTGAGAGCCCAACCAAGGCCCAAATGCCTGTGTAAGTGTGTGGGGGTGCCCTTTGAGGGAGCATGTGATTCAGAGGACCCAGAGCCCCTTGAAAGCAGGTGCGTCTTCATCCCAGCAGAGCCCAGGACATTGTGAGCCCAGTGGTCGTCCTAGAGCCTGTCCAGCAAGAACCCTGTGGTCTAGCCAAGCCCTCTACCCCTGCCTCCCTGTCCATCAGCACCTCCTCCTCCAGGAATGCATTTAAATGGTTAAACAAATACCAAGAGCTCATTTCTATCTGCTGGAAAATGCCTCCCACTCATGCCTCTCTCCAAATAACTTGTCAAAAAAAAAAAAAAAAAAACTTTCCCCTATTTAAAATTGTGTAAGAGATGGCATAGCAAAGGTAGCCCAGCTAGCATTGCCACTGTGCCTTGGCCCCTCTGGAAAAACTGGTGGCATTGTGACTGACTGCCCAAAGGAGAAGCGACTTGTGGGGAAGATGTACCCCACAAGTCGCTTGTGCAGAGAAACCCAATCTGACCAGGTCGCCTGGGGCCCAGGTGTCGCTCTGTGAACCCTGGAGCCCTGGCAACCATGGACCTCTCATCTCCTGTGGGCCACTGGCTGCCTCCTGTCTTGGGACCTGCCAGGGTGACCCCCCTGTCTTCTCTTTCCCCTCCAGAGGCCATTAACTGTTTGATGAGAGCAATAGAGATCTATACAGACATGGTAAGAGTCACTTGCATGGCACTGTCCCCTCCTGTTTGTGTGTTTGTGCTGTGGCAGGGGGAGAGGGGATTGGTTATCTTCAGCTGCACTATAGAACCAGTATGCTGCCTCTGCTCCTCATCATTTCCCTTTGTTATTGGAGTGCCTGTGGTAGCCTTTTCCCTCTCACATGGTCCTCTTGTAGTGTGCCTAGGCAGCCCAGGGAAGGCCCAACCTCACCCAGCCCCAGGGATGCTGTCCCAAGAGTCAGCTGCCAGGCAGTGGGCCATACTCTGCCTGGGTTCCTGTTGGCTCTTTACTGTTCGCCCCATTACATGCCACTTGTCTGTGTGGTCAGACCCCTCCCCAAGGTGGGAATGTTATGCAGGCTGGCCTGGGTGGGGGTAGGGGTGGACATGGAGGATGTCTCTGGTCATAGGCATCCCTTTCCTGTGCCATCCCCCCACCTCCCAGGGCCGATTCACCATCGCGGCCAAGCACCACATCTCCATCGCTGAGATCTATGAGACAGAACTGGTAGATATGGAGAAGGTGAGCTGGCCCCACCTGGCTATGCCAAAGACCGCTGGTGCTCCCCACCTGAAACAATGTCAGGGTGGGAGAAGGGGTCACCACTGTGTGGTTGTTGAAGGTGGGGGAGCTCCACCAGGTAGCACCCCCTCCCATCCTTCCCTCCATTCTCACCCACTCTGGTGTTTCACCAGGCCATCGCCCACTATGAACAGTCTGCGGATTACTACAAAGGCGAGGAATCCAACAGGTAGTCTTCCCCAGCGCCCCCTCCTGTATGTACATGCATGTGTACAACCTGCCTCCATCCCCTCACCTCACCTCACCTCACCTCATGCCCCTCCTCCCCACAGCTCAGCCAACAAGTGTCTGCTGAAGGTGGCAGGCTACGCTGCACAGCTGGAGCAGTACCAGAAGGCCATCGACATCTACGAGCAGGTGAGCCTCACTCTCGGCTTTGTGTCCCCTTCCCCCCATCCCCTGTCCCCTGCCTTCCTGCCCATCTTCCTTTGCTCCTGGCCACCCACTGATTACTCCTATAATCTGTACACGTGCAGACCCTCACAGTGCTGCCTGAAGGCCCCAGAGCCCCAAAGTGGGGTAGCCTCTGCAGAGCACATGGGGCCGGAGAGGGAAGAACAGCCAGTATGGATGGCAGAGTGGGCACTGATCCGGTGGGAGGCATCAAGTGTCACACAGCCCCTGTGACATCATGCCTGTGGGGAGAGCTGGGCTGTGGCTGAAAGAAAGGCACGGCTGGCCCAGAGGAGAGGGTTGGGCACTGCTTCTCATGCTCCCTCTGCTGCTACCCCTCTGCCCACCAAATGCCAGTCTCGTGGGGTTGATGGCAGCGTGGGAGGGCCATGGACACCTGGTTACCCCCTCAGCACATCCTGGTCACTCCTGCTCCCCTTGGTGGCCTCGTGGTCTGTCCCTGCTCACTGCCCTTGGGTCTCCAGGCCTCACCCTAGGACCCAGACTTAGCTTGCAGCAGGCCTTAGTGCCTGCGGTGACCCTCATCCTTGAACTGCCTGTCCTGAGCTCATGGTGACATGTGGTCACAGGTGGGGACCAGTGCCATGGACAGCCCCCTCCTCAAGTACAGCGCCAAAGACTACTTCTTCAAAGCAGCCCTCTGCCACTTCTGCATCGACATGCTTAATGCCAAGGTGAGCCCAGGCCAACTGGGTGACTCCCCGGGGTTTGCCCAGAGGCCCTGCACCAGCCAGGCCACCTCTCCAGGCTGCCAAGTATTTGCCACCAGGCTAAGTTACCTCTTGCTGCCAGACTGTACTTCTCTACATGCCCCCTTCCCCCACTCCCACCTTGGCCTTTGGACAGGAAACACTGGTGTAGTTCATGCTGGTGTCTCTGCCGGGCCCGGGAGGCTCCATGAGTTCCCAGCTGCTGGCTGGCTTCTTGCTGGCCTCCTCACTTTATGAGGCACAGTGGATCCTGACCTTGTCCAAGAGAGAGCAGCTTGGTCAGCTGTGGTGCACATGCACTGAGCCTGAGGTGGAACTCCTTGTGCTACGTGGCTCTGCACTACAGCCAGCATCCCAGGTCCTGGCTCTCCTGGTGGCATGCCTACCCACCAGTTTTCAGTGCCTTGTGACAAGATCGGTGCTAGGGAGGGCACTTGCCAGTTGTAGGAACTGGAAACTGGACCTTGGATACCTATGCGCTTGACCTTCCTGATAAGGCCCCAGGGGCTCCATGCCATCTGGCTGCCCCACGACTACTTCCCCTTCCTGAGCCCTGCTCCTCAGCTCAGCCAGCTATGCACTTGTCAGAGGTGCTGGGGGCTGCTTTTATTTTTTCTGGGGCTGGGATAGAACCCAGGGCCTCGCATTTTAGGCTTAACCACCAAGCCACACCCCAGCCCCTCACTGGGGGATTCTAGTCAGGGACTCTGCCACTGAGCCACACCCCAGCCCCTCACTGTGGGATTCTAGTCAGGGACTCTACCACTGAGCCATACCTCAGCCCCTCACTGAGGGATTCTACACAGGCACTACTGATTCCCACCATTAACCTGAGGTTTTGTCAGACTAGTCTTCATCCTCACCCCACTCACCCAGTACTCACTATGTTGTCACACTTTAATAATAGGCTCACTCGCTCTACCCAACCGTTGTCCCCACAAGGGTTCCATGTGTGAAGTGCCCAACTCTAGGCCTGTCGTGTGGGTTGGCTCTTTTGCCCTCTTCCCCACCACTGCCTGGGAAGCCTACCCCCTTCCTACAGCCATCTGCAGCCAGACTGCCACTGGGTTCAGCTGAGGGGGTGAGGGTACTGTCAGGTGACTGGAGGCCAGGGCAGGGTGTAGAACACTGACAGTACTGCCAGATGTCCCAGGTCCCCTCTGCCAGGAGTATCTCCAGTGTCCCTGCTATCTGTATTAGCTTTTCTTCTCCTGTCTGCTTAGCTCGCTGTCCAGAAGTATGAGGAGCTGTTCCCAGCCTTCTCAGATTCCCGGGAATGCAAGCTGATGAAAGTGAGTGCTGGGCTGGGCTCTCCTGACTTGGGGGGTGAATGTAGGGGCTGGGCTCGCCTGAAATGGGGTAGGTGTGAGTGCCAGGGCTGGATTCTCCTGACATGGGTGGGGGGGTGGGCAGGGATACCAGGTGGGGTAACATCTGGGACTGTCCAGAGCTTCTCAAAGGGCTGGTTGGTTTTGTTTCCTTTGACCATCCTCATCTGTTTCTACATGAAGAAAATGCAGTGGAGGCAGTGATGGAGGGGAGAGGGTGGACAAGGTTGGGAGGCCAGAGTCCCCCACATGTACCCCATGATGACCTGCCTGGGATGTAGCCTGTTGGTGTGCTCCCCTTGCAGTTCTCCCCAACAGCGTCTACTGGGCCTGGCTGGCCTGGCCCTGACCCTGCCTGCCATTTGCTTGCAGAAGCTGCTGGATGCCCATGAGGAACAGAACGTGGACAGCTACACGGAAGTGGTGAGTGGCTGGCATAGGCCCATCCCCTAGCTTTCAGCACTCTCCCACCAATTTCACCCTTTTTAACCTCCGGTTCCAGGACCTGGCTTTAATTTGCTGTTGGTCACCCCAGAATCTTCAAGGAGTGTTTGCTCAGCTTTATAGGTAGTGATACGAGGCTGAGGAGGAACAGGGTTGGGGTTTCTACTCATCTGTCTGCCCCCAAAGCCAGGGCTTCACCCCTTGGCCCCAGGCCAGCCACAGCTGTCCATGCTCTTCCCTCTCTTCTTCCCTCTGCTGCTCTCTGGTCCTCTCACTGCTCCTCCCACTGATCCTGCTAGGTTACAGGGATAGTTCTTCTGCCTTTCCAACTTGAACATCCTTGAAGGCCAGTTGTTTCCAGCTGCATCCTACTTTGTCCCCCAGGCAGTGTCTGCCACCCAGGACTCTCCCTGGGTGCCCCCAGGAACTTAGGCCTAACTGAGGGTAGAGCCAACCCTGTCCATCCCACCTGGCACAGCAGAGAGATGGGCAGGTGGGAGGGGCAGGTTCATTTCAAGTCTGCTGGCCTCAGTTCACCCACAAAGCAAGGAAGCCAGGTGTAGGGCCTTTTAAGCTAGAGTCTGACTGCCAACTCTTCCTCAGAGCTTCACAGACGAGGTGATGGGGCAGGGAGGGCACAGATGGAGCAAGGCTGCCATGGCTCACCCTCTGGCCGTAGGTAAAAGAGTATGACTCCATCTCGAGGCTGGACCAGTGGCTCACCACCATGCTACTACGCATCAAAAAGACCATCCAGGGCGATGAGGAGGACCTGCGCTAGGCCTGTGGCCACCAATTTCCCACCCATCTGTCCCCAAGAGAGGTGGGGCCAACACTGCTTACCATGGAGGCCACATCCTCCAGGGCACCAGGCACGCTCTGCCAGCCAGATGGTCACCCTCTGCCCGCTGCATCCCTCACCCTGCCTATTATTTAAGCCCCTGAACGTGTCATCCTCTGCCTTGGAGACCAGCTGGACAGACTTCAGTATAGACCTCTGTGCCGCAGGAGCCTGGGGTCAGCATCCAGTTCATCTGGCCAGTTGTGTGCTGAAGCTGTTCCATCTCCCCACCTTGTATCCCAGCAGAGTTCTGAGCACAGGTAGTCCAAAGACTTGCTCTCCCTAGCTGGGAGTAACCTGGAGCCCCCAGCCTCCTGCAACCCCCACCTCTCAGGTTAGGCCCAGCCCTGGCACCCACAGTGGTCCCAGGGCCCACCTTGCACCTGCTCCTTTCCCAGCCTCCTGGTCAGTCTGTCAGCTGGAAGCTGCAACTTGTCCAGGAAGGACAATAAAACCTGCCACTTTTGCATGAGTCTCTTCCTCCTCGCCTCTGCTGTCCCTTTCATCCCAGAGCATCCCTGCCCTCTGCCTGACTGTGAGGCATTTGGGTTCACTCTGTGCCATTGGTTTCCCCAGCTCAGCCTCAGAGCCAGCTGGAGAGTGGACTATAGCCCACATGAGCATGAGCATGGACACGGAGTGGCCACTGACTCCTGTGTGCCCCCTCCCACCCCATCCACACTGCACTGGAACATGACAGCCACTCCATCTGTCACAGCTACGAGGAAGCTGCCCTAGTGGGCAAAGTTGGAGGCTTGAGTGGGGCTGAAGGCCAGGTGAAGATGGCAGGAGCCCACATCCACCACACCTCCAGGCAGGTGCCAGGGCTGGGCCCTTCCCTGTGTTCTCAGTACTAAATAGAGGGCAACCTTTGGGAGTCAGTTCTCTCCCTCCCCATTATGGGAGGGTCTTTCCACTGGGCTCAGTACCGCAGGCTAGCTGGTCTAAAAGCTTCCCGGCAATTCTGTTTCCCACCTCCCATCTCACTATTGGATACTGGGGTTACAGATGTGTACCACCTCATGAAGCTGCTTACATTGGTTCCAGGAATCCGATTTTGGTTTGTCTGGCTTGCACAACAAACACCTTTACTGAGCCATCTCCCTGGCCCATAGTTGGAGATTTTGCATGCATTGAGCTTGCTTTGTGTGGCACCATGTGGTCTGGGAGCTAAGATTTGGCTCTAACCAAGGAAGCTTGTGGCTGGGGTGAGGGGTGGGAGTGCACACCTGCTTTCTGCAGGGAGGGGACTGGCATTGCTCAAAGTGGCCAGGACACTTAGCCAGCTCATGTCTAACAGAATTGATACATGAATGTGCTCCCACACCCTTCACATCTGAAGGCCTCGAAGTCAGCCACATCTGGTTTTGTATCCCGTCACCATCATGGAGAAGCATCTGTCTAGGCTGTTCTCTCTGGGTTCAGGCTCAACTCTCAGAGTTTTGGGTGAGGAAAAGTGTAAAAGGTGTGACACCACAAGTGTACTTTGACTAGATGAGTTGAGAGGTGGCAGCAGGCCTTGCAGAGGGCTCATTTGGACCAACGTGACTGTCACCATGGATGCTCAATAAAACAGATGGGTCATCTACCACTGGGCTGGGCAGCTCAGCCGATCCTTCTCTTGGAGTAAGAACACATGGCACTATTTTAAATGAAGTATGAAGTTGTTAATACCTTGTTTGGGTTCGGCACTAATTGCTTACTGTGTAGTCTTAGGCAAGTTACCTCTTTGTATCTCAGCTCATCTGTAAAATAGGTAAAAGAGTACTTAAAGCTAGCAAGAGGGCTAAGCCTGAAGACCTGAAATTGATCCTCAGGACCCACATGGTAGGAGAACTGACTCTTGAAAGTTTTCTTACCACACACATGCTGTGAGGTGAGTATACCTCTCCCCCCAACACACGTAATAAAGAGTACCTACTTTAGGGCTGGAGAGATGACTCAGCGGTTAAGAGCACTGACTGCTCTTGCAGAGGACCCAAGATTCAATTCCCAGCACCTACATGGCAGCTAATAACCGTCTGTAACTCCAGGAGATCCGATACCTTCTGACCTCCTTGGGCACTGCATGACCCGGGTGCATTTACACACGTGGGCAATACACTCATAAAAAAGTAGATAATTTTTTTTTTTTTTAAAGTACCTACTTAAAGCCAGGTGTGGTGGCACATGCCTTTAATCCCAGCACTCAGTAGACAAGGCAGGCCTGGTCTACATAGTAAGTTCTAGGCCAACTGGGGCTACAGGGAGACCTTGTCCCAAAAAAGAACGTACTTTAGCCATGCTTATAATCTCAGCACTTGGCAGACAGGCAAGAGGGTTGCCAAAAGTTTGAGGCCAATTTGATCTACAGATTTCTGGGTCAGTCAGGGCTACATGGAGTCGTCCTCAGCCTTAGCCTGCTTGTGAGGTTTGAATAAATTGTCAGGTGGAATGTGCTTTTATGCAAATGGGTAAATTAAGTTTTATGATTTCTTTACTTAGATGCTTTTGTTGGGGGAGGGGTGTGTTTAAGAGGGTTTCATGTACCCTAGGCTAGCCTCGAACTCCCTGTATAATTGAAAGATGGCCTTGAACTGCTAATCCTCCAAGTGCTGGGATCTCAGGCCTGCGCCGCCACACCAGGCTCATGATAATCCTTGGGTCTTCCACACAGCCTCCAGAAGGAGCTCGAGCTACCATCTCTGGTCCTGGGAGCTCCTTTCCTTGGCTCTGAAATGAGAGAGGGTTGGCTAATCTGTGGAGCCCGGTATCGGGCAGCGACGGCAGCTTCTTGACGTCATCATTGCGCGCGAGTGGCGGCCCGCAGCTGGTTCCGGAGAAGGAGGCAGGCTGGGACGCGTCGCGGAGGGCCAGCATGGGGGAGGCGGCTGTGGCCGCGGGTCCCTGCCCGCTGCGGGAGGACAGCTTCACACGCTTCTCGTCGCAGAGCAACGTGTACGGGCTTGCGGGAGGCGCCGATGGGCGCGGGGAGCTGCTGGCCGCCACTCTTAAAGGCAAGGTACTTGGCTTCCGCTACCAAGACCTCCGACAGAAAATCCGGCCGGTGGCCAAAGAGCTGCAGTTCAACTACATCCCCGGTGCGTGGCGCTATGGTGCCGGGGGGCGGGGCTGGAATCAGGTGTGGAGTACGATTCTGAGGCTCTGTCTGAGCCGGTCACTGGGATGGGAGGTCGAGATTGAATGGGGTCAAAGCAGGTGACCATTGGAGTTGGGGGCAGGGGTCATCAGGGCCTGAAAGTAGTTAAGAGTTCAGGATTCCTCAAACATAGAGATCACATCCTGATGCTCACTGGTCAGAGGTCATGGTGATGGTAGTCAGGAACCCTGCAGACCTAGAGGTCGCAACTGCAGTGGTCTGAGGTCACTGTGGTTGGGGGTGCCAGAGGTGGAGACTTGCCTGATGTGTGAACCTTGAACTGTCCCCTCGCAGTGGATGCTGAGATTGTGTCCATCGACACCTTCAACAAGTCACCTCCAAAGCGGGGCCTGGTTGTGGGCATCACATTTATCAAGGTATGCCCCTCCACCACTCCCCACACACTTCCCCTTAGTGTGGGGAATTCTGAGTCTCCCCCAAGTACCTCCTGCTACCCCTACCTCCCCTGAGGGCAGTTTCCTTCCCCAGGACTCAGGGGACAAGGGAAGCCCTTTCCTTAACATTTACTGTGACTACGAGCCTGGCTCAGAGTACAATCTAGACTCCATTGCTGGTGAGTGGGTCCTGCCTGGGGCTCGGGGTGGTCGGGGTCTGGCAGGTACTGCTGGGCCTCAGCTTGTGTCCTTCTACAGAGAGCTGCCTGAACTTAGAGCTCCAGTTCACACCTTTCCAGCTGTGCCACGCAGAGTGAGTGACCTTGGACGCCCGGGGCTCTTGCACCCCTTCCTCCCATTGGGAGGCTGTTGTCTTGTGTGGAAAATAAACCCTTGGTTGTACTAGACCAAGGATTGGAAACAAACACCATTAGGGTCCCAAGACGTAAACCCTCAAGATCAGGAAGTGGGGTCTCACAGGACTGTAGCAGACTGCAACCCACACACCTGACCCACCTCAGCCGAGTTCTAGTGATGCCTTTCAGAGCCTTGGGCTTCTGGGGTGAATGTGGTGGAGATGTTGGGGGGCACCACATTGTCATCTCTGAAGGAGATATCGAGAGAGACCTTTGAGTACCTGTGTCTACACATCTAGAACTCAGCTTAAGGGTTTTAGTGCTCTACTTTTCCAGAAGCATAAGCTCCAAGACTCCCAGATATAAAAGATTCTCACCCAGTGTGGTTGCACTACCCTTTAATCCCAGCACTTGGGAGGCAGAGGCAGGTGGATTACCTGGTCTACATAGCAAGTTCCAGGTCAGCTGAGGCTACAGGGAGACCCTGTCTCAAACACACACACACACACACAAAGATTCTCATGAGGGCTGGGATGTGGCTCAGTTAGTCAAGTGCCTTCCTGGCTTGCACAAAGCCCTGGGTTCCATCCCAGCACCAGATAAACCATATATGGTGGTTGGGGCTGGAGATATGGCTCAGCAGTTAAGAGCACTGGCTGCTCTTGCAGAGGACCCAGATTTGGTTCCCAGCACCCACATGATAACTGATAACCATCTGTAACTCCAGTTCCAGGAGATTACATGGTGCACTTACACACATGCAGGTAAACACTCATACACATAAAAATTAACTAAAAATAGCAACTAGCCTTAAAAAGACAGGTATGCCTCTAATCCCAGCACTTGGGAGGTGGAGGCAGAAGGATCAGAATTATATTCAAGGTCATCTGCAGCTGTATAATGAGTTCAAGGCCAGCCTGGGTTACAAGAGACCCTGTCTCAAAAAATAGAAAAAATTCTGTCAAAGTCAGCACCTTCTGAGATTCTGTAGAAGATCCTGACACCCTCATGTTGCCTCAAGATAGAATGCAAACCATTCATTATGTTCAGGTTCCAGAATCCCAAAGCATGTGGGTTCTACCCCAGGCCTGTAGAATAACACCAGCAGTCTAGCCAGTATTGGCAATTTTATTTTTCAAATTTTTTCAAATTATTATTTTATTATTTTCTAATTTTTTCTGTCAAAGCCCAATTAATAAATGTTAGGTTTTAAGGCTCGATGGTCACTGTCACCACTACACAATTCTACCATTGTAACAAGCAAGCAAGCCATCATTGATTCTGAATGAATGTGATGGGACTGTGCCAATAAAACTTTATTGATAAAAAAAGCAGACAGTGGTTTGGGTTTGGTCTGTGGGTCCTAATTGGCCTACCTCTGGTCCAGCATGTGAGAGGTCTAAAAATGAACCCTGTGGGGTGTGTGTGTGTGTGTGTGTGTGTGTGTGTGTGTGTGTGTGTTTGGGGGGATGTTCATGTGTGTGGTGGTATGCATGTACATGTGGAAGCTAGAGGACAACCTCAAGGTGTCATTTCTCAGGAACTGTCCACCTTTTTTGGAGACTCTCCCATGGCCTGCTGACTGGCCAGTGAGCTCCAGGGATCCACCTGTGTCCTCTGCCCCAGCGCTAGGATTACAAGTGCTGCCATGGCATACCACCATGGCATTTTTTATGTGGATTCCGGAAATCAAATCTGTGTCCCTGTGACTACCTTCCAAGCACTTTACCAGCTAAATTATCTCTCCAACACATGCCTGTACACACAATCATATTCACTCTCTCTCTCTCTCTCTCTCTCTCTCTCTCTCTCTCTCTCTCTCACGCTCACGCGCTTCACTGTGTAGCCTAGGCTAGGCCAGACTTGAAATGCTCCAGTCTTAGCCTTCCAGTGCTGGGATTACACATGAGGACCACCCCGCCAGATTTAGAATCTAGAAGATTCCAGATGTTGGGATTTGCATGTTCCCATCTGGAAGTCATTTCTACCAGGTCTAGTCTTTGAAGGCAACAGGAACAGGACTTTCAGAATCCTGGGATACAAGAAGGTAGAGGCAGTTGCTGTGAGATGGTTTTTTAAAATTTTAGTTTATAAAATTATCTGTGTGCTTGTGGGTGGCCATAGCACGTGGGTAGAAGTCAGAGGACAATCTACAGGAGTCTGTTCTCTCCTACCATGTGACCCCAGGGATAAAACTCAGCTCATCAGGCCTGGCGGCAAGCATCTCTACCCACTAAGCCATCTCACCCACCCTTTGTTGTGAGGTTCTGCAAACCTGTTCTACAGGCCGCTATCTCATCTCTAGACTGGAGATTCTAGCAAGCAGGGGCTCCCTGAACAAGGCGTCCATCGTGCCGTACTGGGAAGCCCTGAGTTCCTACAGTCTGGGTCTCACAGGGCTGGCTTACTCGAGTCTGCAGAGTGCTGAGCCCTGTGTGCTGCACCTGGCATGTGAGTCTCCAAATGTCAGGGCTCTTTCAGGCCAAGGTTTTTGCAAGAGCAGATTTCAGGTTGGGCATGGGAGGTACAGGCAGGAGGATCAGGAGTTCAAGACCAGCCTCCGCTCCATAGTGAGTTAGAAGCTAGCCTGAGCTACATGAGAACTGGTCTCAAAATAAAATGGGAGTGGGTTTCTAAAACAGAGGGATTTGACTCTACTCAGGTTCCAGTACATTCTAGATTTCTCTGCTTTCAGAGTCCAGGTTGGGGACCAGCTAGAGACCGTCTTTCTCCTGAGTGGGAACGATCCTGCCATTCATCTCTACAAAGAGGTGAGGTGGGCCGTTTGGGTCTCCAAGGCAGTGGCAGGCTATGTGCCAGGGCTTGCTGACTGACTGCGGGGCTTGGGGTGGGTCTCATTCCCTCAGAACGAGGGGCTGCACCAGTTTGAAGAGCAACCCGTGGAAAACCTCTTCCCAGAGCTCACAGACCTGACCAGTAGGTAGGAGAGGACCCCCACACCACACACCCCACACCCAAAGAAGGGATGAGGGCCCCAACTGAAGAAAAGTTAGAGCAGGGTGCATGCCAGGACAACCAGGTGGAAGTGACCTTAGAGAAATGAAGACGTGCAGTTAAAGAGAGCCCTGTGTTCTGTCCCCACCACCACCCAACCCAGGCTGCTGCAGGCCTGTAATTCCAGCACTCAGGCAGTAGAGGCAGGAGGGTCAGGAGTTTAGTCATCCTTGGTTACATTGTGAGTTTGGGGCTAGCCTGGGCTGCATGAAACTGTGTCTCAGAAAAAGCAAACAACAACAGCATGTTCAGAAAACTCGGGCCACAACATGACCTCAGGGAAGTTTATCAGAGGGTGGGGTGTCCCCCAAGAGCAGCTACAAGATGGCTTAGTAGGGCAGGTGGTGGGAACCAGTCCCCCAGGGAAATTGGGCAGCAGGCCTGACTCAGAAATCAGACTGCAGGGCCCTGGCACTGCAGGGAGGAGCTCGCTGCCCCTGGGAAGCAGAGGTGGGGCCAGAGCTCCGTGACCTCCCTCAGCCTGTCCACCCATCCATCATCCTCCCACCAGTGTCCTCTGGCTTGATGTGCGCAACCTCCCGGGCACATCCCGGCGCCTCTCGGCTCTTGGCTGCCAGAATGGTTATGTACGTGTGGCTCACGTGGACCAGCAGAGTCAAGGTGAGGGCTGTGAGGGGTATGAGAGTGGTGGGGTGGGAGTGGGACTAGGGCCCTAAGTCCCTACTCTCCACACAGAGGTATTGCAGACTTGGACAGTCCTGCAGGACGGACCCATCTCCCGGGTGATTGTGTTCAGCCTGTCTGATGCAGTGGGTAAGCTCTGGGCTCCAGACCATGGGAGTTGGGGGAGAGGGGTTACTGCAGGCTCAGTTTTCCCAACCCTAACAGCCAGACCCTGTGCTTTTTTGGATGTCCCTATCTAGCCCTCAAGTTGTGCCACAGATTTCAACCTCTACCCACTTACTCTAATTCAGACCTTTTCTGTTAGGGCCCAACCTTACCCTCCCCACTGTGGTTTAACCTTAGACCTTTTTTCCAGTGTTCACTTTTCCCTTTGTGGTCTAACCTTCACTCTTCACATTGTATCTTATATTGATACCTCCTCTCTCACTGCCTTGTGGACTGACCACTTTTCTGTCACTCATAGTCTATCCCCACCCTGTGTGCTGGTTCTTCCTGTTTTCCTGTTCCTAGTCCCTTCACTGACTTTCTCCTTGACCTGCCCTTTACCCTCTAAGCACAAGTTCCCCATCCCTATCCTCCTGCTTTGTTCTAACCTTAGTCTTCATCTCTGGTCTAACCTTTGTTTCTTCTACTGTGGTCTAACTTTAGACTTTTTTAAACAGTCATCTAACACCTGTCTGATGTCTGACCATAGTCATTTCATGGTCCAACCTCTAACCCTCTGTGAGCCACAACCTCAAGTCTTTGTTGTGAGGTTTAGTTTGTAATCCTTTCACTGCAGGGGGGGAGGGGAGGGAGGCAAAGCCTGTCCTTTGTCCCCACAGACCCTCCAACTCATGTCTCTTCTATAGCGACCAAGGACAGTCCCCAGCAGGAAGAGTACAACCTGCTCGTTGCCAGCATGTTGGAGCCGGCCGTTGTGTACCGGTGAGGGTGCTGTGGCTTGAGGGTGTGGTCTAATCTCATGCCTGTGCAGTGGGGTCTAACCTTCCCAGCTAAAAGTATCTTTGGGTGGGGCCAGGAAAGAGGCTGTGATAAGAGCAGGGGCTGTGAGTGTTCAATTCTGGAACTTGTAGAGGATTTGTTGAGGCTTGGGTGGGAATAGAGATGCCCACACCTAGGTTTGATGGACCAGGGGTCTGGAAGATGCTTAGCTGCTGTCTCTAGAAATGCAGCACTTGCCAGCTTCCATGGTGTCAGCATGGGTCAAAGCCATCAGGGGTTTTAAAGCCACCAAAAATTGTGAGTTACACAGCCAGTCTCATGTGTATTGTGGAGAGAATTTGAGACAGGCTTTCATGTAGCCCAGGTTGGCCTCAAACTCACTGTATACCCGATGATAACCTAAAATTCCCCATCCTCCTGCTTCCTCCTCCCAAGTGCTGGGATCACAGGTGTGCACTATCACACCCAGTTTATGTGGTTCCCAGCACCCACATGGCAGTTAACAACCATCCGTGGCTCCAGTTCCAGGGGATCTAATGTCTTCTGTGGCCTCCACAGGCATTACATATACATGGTACACTTACATACATGCAGGCACATAAAATAATAAAAATAAATTTTAAAAATTATTAATAGGACAGCATGGTGGCACACACCTTTAATCCCAGTACTTGGGAGACAGAGGCAAGCAGATGAATCTCTGGTGAGATCAAGGCCAGCCTGGTCTACCTACTAAGCTTCAGGCCAGCTGGGGCTACAGGAAGACCCTGTCTTAAAAAACAAAACAAAAATTAATAAAGAAGAAAGTGTCCAGTCCAGCACAGGGCTTCCACACTCTGTAAGGCAGAGGCACCAGGTACTCAAATGAGAGACCAAGTACCTGTGTCCCCAGGAAGAACAGGGCAGTGTCCACTTGGGAGCAACATGGTACAGCCTCCAAGGAGCAGTGGGGGCATCCAGGCTGGGGACTAGGGGACAGACGCTTGAGGCAGACTACTGGGCTGACAGGTTAGCCCCATGCAGGGACCACAAAGGCACCCACATTGACGCCATGGTGCCCAGTATCAGAATAGTGGGTTGTACCTCCCGTTCTGACATCAAAGGTGGGGAACCCTGCCAGCTGACCTCCCTCTCCCCCACTGTATTGGGGATCCCCAGGGACCTTCTGAACCAGGGCCTGGAAGACCAGCTTCTCCTGCCTGGCAGTGACCAATTTGACAGTGTCCTCTGTGGCCTGGTCACTGATGTGGACCTAGATGGACAACCAGAAGTCCTGGTGGCCACCTATGGACAGGTGGGTTTTGAGAGATGGACACAGTACCTTCCCACACTGCTCTGTGCCCCCCACCAGCCCCTCTGACCCTAACCCCTCTCCCAACAGGAACTGCTCTGCTATAAGTACCGCAGGCTTCCTGAGGCTGGCCCAGGCTTTCACCTGCTGTGGCAGCGGACCTTCTCCAGCCCCCTGCTGGCCATGGCCCATGTAGACCTGACTGGTGATGGGCTGCAGGAGCTGGCCGTGGTGTCTCTAAAGGGGGTACACATCCTCCAGGTAGCCAGGCTTATGCTGGGAGGAGGGAGGCTGGGAAGAGGGGCAGGAATGGATGCTGCCATGGAAAAGGACATTGCCTACTTTTAAGCAGGTCTCCCCTGCAGGAGGGAGTAGCCTAGTTCTGGGCGGGACTGGATCTGCCAGGAAAATGCCACCAATGGAGTGGGGCAGCAGCTGATGAAGCAGGCTAGATAGATGCTGTGTTTATTTATTTTGGGTATTTTTATTTTGTTTTTATTATTTTGTCTTTTTGAAACAGGGTGTCCCTGTAGCCCCAACTGGCCTGGAACTCACTGTGTAGACCAGGCTGGCCTCAAACTCACAGAGATAGATCTGCCTGCCTCTGCCTCCCGAGTGCTGGGATTAAAGGCGTGAGCCACCAAGCACGGCCTGGTATTTTTATTTTACGTATACAAGCATTTTGCCAGCATATATGTAAGTGTACCACATGCACACAGAGGCCAAAAGAGGGCATAATATCCCCTGGAACTGGAGTTACAGATGGTTGTTAGCTGCCATGTGGATGCTGCGAACCAAATCTTGAGTCCTTTGCAAGAGCAGCAAGTGGTCTTAACTGCTGAGTCATCTCTCTAGTCCCATACACTAGTGTTTTCTTAAGACTGTGTAGCCCAGGCTGGCCTGGAATTCTTTTGCCTCAGCAACCCTATTGCTGAGATTGCTGCATGCACCACCCTGCCAGCTCTTCCACTGATTTGCAACTTCAGTTCTTTCCACTTGGGTCTCAGCTTTGCTCCTCCCACAGGGACCCTTCCCCTGAGTCTGACTTCCACTTCTGCCCTGAGATCCAGCTACACCTACACCCCACCGTCTGCCCTCTACCCTCCACTATGACTGAGACCCAGGCCTCCAATGTTGTCTCAACCTGCCCTCCTTTTCTTGTCCCCACAGCACAGCCTGATCCAGGCCTCTGAGTTGGTCCTGACTCGGCTTCGTCGTCAAGTTGAGCAGAGGAAGCAGCAGCCACAGGATCTTGGGGACAGGGTGGGTCCCAGGCCTGGGGAGTCCCCAGCCTCCTGAGCACCCCCTCTTCCCAGGCCCAGGAAACTCATGGCATTTCCCATCACTGATGAAAGAAGTGTGTCACAGGAGGGGTGCTCCCCTTGGGCTCCTCCAGAGGGTAACACTCAGTGTCCCTGCCCTGCCCTGATGATGTCACCCTTGCTGACCACTCCTGGCAGCTTTGGTGTCCCTGTTTGAAGAGGAGTGACGTCACCAAGCCCATATGTTCCCATCGAATGTTGGTCCCCTGATGACTACTTATACATACAGAGCAACAGAGCTGCCCCAGCCATCTTCATTCTCCTGAGTGTAACTATTGATCATTTCTGTGTGCCTGGTTCTGCGTTGCTGGATTTATCCCCCAAAGAATCAAGGGGGCTTCAGGGAGAGAGAGTCCAAGGTTAGACCCAGAAATAGGGCAGAGATTAGATCCAGAGTAGGACCCAAGGAAAGAAAGGAGGTTATGATTTTGCTGTAGTTTGTTGTTTGTTTGTTGTTTGCTTATGTTGATGGCTCCTTTCTGGCTCTTGCTGAACTTAGCTTAGAGAGCCAGGGTGCCAGGGGACAATGGCCACAAAAGCCACCTCAGCCAGTGGTTTACAAGTTTGTTGAATCTGCCAAAACAAAGAAGGGAACTGAGCTAAGAAAGTGTAGATCTATAAAGATAGAACTCTAAAGCATGGGAACTCCAAGGGAAGAGCACCACTCCACCCTCCCCAGTGGGCTTTGTTTGGGGTCTTAGGTGGGAGTTAGATGGATATGGAGGAAATCTTTATTGGGATTCGTCCATTTTTAGCATCTTGGGCTGGGCCAGTAAAGGGTCCCTCATGCCTTGTCCATAATCCCTCAATGCAGAGGTAGAAAGCATGGTGTTTCTTTTTTGTTTTTTGTTTTGTTTTGTTTTGTTTGAGACAGGGTCTCACTATGAGGATGATGTTTCTTTTCCCATCCAGACAGGTCTCCTGTGTACCTGACTATATTAGGATCCCCCTAGGCCCCATCCTGACCTTCCCAGACAAGACTCCTGTCTCATTTGGACCTTCATCAAAATATAACCATTGTGAGGGTTGAGGAGACAGCTCAGTAGGTATAACACTTGCCATGCAAGCTTGAAGATCTAAGTTTGAATCCTCAGAACCCATGTAAAAAAGGGTGGTGGCACACTCTTACCCCAGTGCACCTACAGTAATATGGGGGGCCACAGGTGAGTCCCCAAAGCTCACAAGCCAGGTGGCCTGACACCCACAGCAGCAAACAACAGAGATCCTGTCACAAAGAAGCTGGAGACTCGAGGTTGTCCCCTGAGTTCCAAACATGAGAACAGGCTTATGTGCTGCCCAGACTCACACACAAATGCACACATACAACCTTAATGATTGCAGAGTGATGTATATACAGGTAAGGGAAAGCTCTGAGGTTAGACCTGAATGGAGAAAACTGAGGTTAGGCTCCAAAGGAGATAACACCCTGCAGCTATGGCTGAGGTTAGACCCTGAACTAGACCTCTAAAAGAGAGCTGAGGTTAGACATCAGTGGAATGATCTAGATCTGGGGTGAGATTCCAATGGAAAGACAGAAGAGATCCTGAGACAGCTTTCATCAAACCATAGCAGAGGGTCTGAGGCTAGACTTGTGAATAATGAAGTCAAATTCTAACCATGGTGGCACAGGCCTGTCACCCTAACATTGGGAGGCTGAAGCAGGAGGATCAAGAGTTCAAGGCTAGCCTAGACTGCAGCAAGACCCTGTCTCAAAAGAAAACTGGTTAGACTGACCAAGCAAAGGCCAAAGTAAAACCCCAATGGAAAGTAATTGAGCATGGATCCCAGAGGTGGGTGTTAAGGCTAGATCCAGGCAGACAGGCCCCAGTAGATACAATGCTGAAGAGGATTATGGATAGAGAATAGCTGAACAGCTCAGGGAGCTGAGGACAAGACCAGCTTCCCCAGCTAGTGGCCATGGGCATGGCTACCTCATGGTCCCATCAGAGATAGCAACCCAGGGGGAGGAAGAAGGCAGGAAATGTTGCCGCCCCCAACCCAGACCAGGAATAGAATTGGGGTCAACAAGGCTGGGGAGGAGCTCCTGAGTGGATCCCCGGCTGAGAGTGGGCTTGGATGGGATGCCTGCTTCCTGGGGGTGCATGTGTTTGTGGGGGGTGACCAGTCCCTCCTGCTGGGGAAGCCCACCTATAAATCCATCCACTAGCCCTGCCCGCAGAGGGGCAGCCTCCATGTCTCTATAGTGAGTCTTAGAGGATAAGTTGCCCAGATGCCAGTTTCCCAGTCTCTAGCCCCTATGGCAGAAACCAGGCCCAGGCAAGGGGAGCTGCAGGGAGCCAGATCCTTTCCTTCCTGGCATTGGGCCAGGTGCCCGGCCAGAACTAGCAGCTGGCTTGGGCCACAGGCAGGGACAGCCCTCTCCTCTGCTGCACACAGAAGACCACTTGCTCAGTACTGGGTATTTGTCTCCAGTCCTGGTGGAAGGGGGATCCTAGGGTGGGGTTTAGAGTGAAAGTGGTGTGGGTCTGTGACATGTGCACCCTGAGGGGTTGTGTGCATGTATATGTGTGCACATGTGGGAATGTGTATGTATACGTTTGCAGGTAAATGTGTTCACCCACTTCTAAGTACAGGGATTTGTCTTCAGGAACCTGGGACACTTGACTTGGGACTTTGCTTTTGGGAGTGGGGGGTATTGGGACAGGGGGTCATGTAGCCCAGGCTGGCCTCTAGCCAAGGCTGATCTTAAACTTCTGATCCTCGGCCTCCACTTCCCAAGTGTTGGGATTACAGAAATGCACCACCATGCCTGGTTTATGTGGTGCCTGGGACACAGGGCTTCCTGCATGCTAAACAGCATTCTACCCTCTGAGGCACGTCCCCAGCACTCATTGGCTGTTTTGGTTCACGGTTTTGCTATGTAACCCAGACTGGCCTGGAACTCACCATCCTCCTGCCTCAGCCTCCCTAGTCCTGTGATGATAGATTTGTGTCACTACACCAAGCAGCCTTGATCATGCTCGGTCCTTAGCCCAGGTGCACTGACTTGCAGTAATCAAGGATACAGAGCCTGGAGCCACATACCACCACCTGCTGCCTCAGTTCCCCCACGTGTACAGTGAAGATAGTAGCATCTACCTTTGAAGGTTGATATTGTCATCGTGTGTCATGGAGGTGATATGAAATAATGCTGTGGTGGGACCTGATGGAGTAGGTGCTGTGGGGACGGCTGTCGTCATCTGTGATCACTCTGTGAGGTGCTCTGTGCAGCAGGTCCAGTCTGTGAACTCGGAATTGCCTCCCCGCCTGACATTCCTGCCCCCCTTCCCAGGTCCGCCAGTCTGTGGCTATTTGTGGCTATGACTGCATCTTTGGGCCTTGTAGGGACGAGAGCCTGCCTGTGTGTGATTGGTGGGGCACAGGGGTGCCCCCGACACACAGGTGCACACCCGCGCAGCCCTCTGCCGCTGTCCCCGACCTCTGGTGCTGAACACCAAGGCGGTCTGAAGCCCCTGCCCCGCCCAGGCCGACCCCCTGACCGGCCTGCTGCTTCCCTTGCCACGCCCCCTCCCAGGCTCCTCCCTTCTGCTCTACTCCAGGACCTCCTCCCAGCTCCATGGCTCCGCCCCTCCCGCTCCTAGCTCCTCCCTCTTCCAGCCGCCTTCCTGTGGTCTCCCGGTCTTCTTCCTCCCTCCTTTAGGTGGATTTCCTCCAGCCCCCTGTTCCCGCCCCCTCCCTCCTCCCTCCTCCTGGTGGTCCCCCTCCAACGCTCCTGTCCCCGCCCCCTCCCTGGGCTCTTCTGTCCTCCTCCTGGTGGTCCCCGCCACCACAGCTCTCCTGTCCCAGCCTCTTCCCCTGGGCTCCTTGCTCCTCCTCCTGGTGGTCCCCCTACCATAGCTCCCCTGTCCCAATCTCTTCCTCTGACTCCTCCCTCCTCCTCCTGGTGGTCCCCGTACACACAGATTCCCTGACCCGTCCATCCCCTCCCTGGGCTCTTCTGTCCTCCTGCCCCCCACCTACAGATCCCCTGTCCCCGCCCCTTCCCCTGGGCTCCTCCCTCCTGGTGGTCCTCCCCAGCTCCCGTCCCCGCCTCCCCTGGGTTCCTCCCTCCTCCCCTTCCCTCCCGGCCCCTCCCCTCCTTCCTGCATCCCCTCTCCTCCCTCCTCCTGGCTCTCTCAGTCCCCGCTCCTCTCTCTCCCTCTCCGTCTCGGGCGGAGGCGCCCACCGCCGCGGCGGAGTGGAGACCGTGCAGACCGCAGGTAAGAGCCCAGCGCTGGGTGGATCTGCCCACCCGCCGGGGACCCCGGGCCTGCGGGAGCGGCGGCTGCCTCTCCCCGCCTCGTGTCCCCATCCTCGGACCCCATCCCCGGCTCTGCCCAGCCCGGTGCAGGGGTTTCCCGAGCCCTGGCTCCAAGTCCGCGGCTGCCGGGTTTCCTCGTGCGCCATCTGTGTGCCTCGCTGTCTCTTGGTCTCTGAACACCTGGGTCTCTGTCCCTTCCTTTCCTCGCCCCGTCTCCGAGAGCCAGTTCACTCCTACACACCGCTGTCTCCACCCCCGGAGCAGGGGGACCTGGAGGAGGCCAAACCTCCGCAGTGTGGGCTCCCCCCACCCCCGAGGGCCTGGAGTGCCCCCAAGTCCTCCTCACCCCTCTTCATTTAGGTCTCCCCATCCTCCCAGCCCTATTTCCCTGGCATTCTGAGGCTGGTCCTGCCTACAGCCTACCGAGTAACCTGTATAGTACACGGTAAACTGGTCCTTCCTACTGTCTAACTTCCATACCTCTAGCTGTTTGTCCATTCATTCTTTTGACAACTCCTAAGCCACTCTCCTCCTTTCCGGCACAGCTCTAGGTGTTGGGTCAGGCCAGGCCGGTCCTTCTCACTGTCCAGACTTGCTGCCTCACACCTGTCTCAGTGGAGTTGGGTGGCAAAACAGCCACCCACGTCCTGGGGGCTTCTAGGCTGTATGGAAGCACTTGGCCAGGCCTCCTCCTCCCTTTTTGAAGGAGCCTGGGGAGGTGGGTGATGTGCAAGCCACTGCCCACTGCCCAAGCTAGGGTGAGCAGATGTGTGCCTGTAAGGTCCCCATCCTATGTGACAGCTGTGTGGGGATTCCGGATGGCTTAAAGAGCACTGGTTGGTAGACCCATGCCTTGACTTTACAGCTGTTTCCTGCCTCTGGCTTGACCAAGCCCTTTCTCTTCTGGTGGGCCTCAGTTTACCTGTCTAGAATCCAAAGCCCTGTGTATGTTGGGGGCACTGTGTGACTAACATGGGACAGTGTGTTCAGAATTCTGCAATCCCACACTGCACTGTACCCTGAAGGGCAGTGCCTCATCCCCCAACCCCCAGCAGTCAGAATGTGCCCCCACTGTGACTGTCTTGAGGGACCTCAGGAAGGGTCCCACCTGGCTGCATATGAACCACCCCCCTCCCAAGGCCAGCCTGGCAGAACAGAACATTCACTACTAACCCAGCTGGCCACTGGCCCGCAAGGCTGGGGAGAGAAGGCACCAGAGCTGCACCACCTCCCTGGACCTGATCTGCTCTGATCAGACTCAACCTGATCCCTTCATCCACCCCAGCATCTACACCCAGATTAGCTTTCAGGGCAGCAGACGAGGGTGCCCGGGGCAGAAAGCAAGCACCCGCTGCCCCAGCCACACACAACAGTGTGGCCTCTCCACCAAGTATTTCACAAATATTTATCTAGTGCTTTCTCAACCCAGTCTGTCCTCCTCTAAGGTTGGGGCGGGGGGAGAGAGAGAGAGGCTGGGTGACAGCAAAAGAAATTGAAAGCTTGGGATAACCCAGCCCCACGGAAGGCAGGGAAATACCAGTCTGCCTGGTCTCCCTGCAGGACTGCAGCAGGAGGTACAGGTGATTAGACATGATGTTGGACTTCCCAAGCCACTCTCTTTCCCCAGGGTAGGGGTTAGATATAGTTAGATGGATTCTTGGCTCTTCAGGGTCATCCCTGTTTCTCCAGATAGCCAAAGAAGAGGAGAAATGAAGTAGGAGGGAGTCTTTGCTTGCGATCCTGGTGGGTTCATAATTAGGCCTAAGTCTTCCATAATTAGGGGTTGTTAATTAAATATATCATTAGGGGCCTTGCCTAGGGGGCTGATTGTGCAGTGGCCCCTTTAAGAATCACCCCTCTCTCCGCCCTCGCCTACATACACGGGCGGGCACACACACACACATACACACACACACACACACACACACACACACACACACACACAGGCTCTCACTCACTCCTTTTTGGGAAGTTCTGCCAACAGGCTGCCTCCCTCCCCCAGAAGAGCCGGCTCCCACTTCGTGGGTGTGAGCTGGGGGCAGGCTGTGGGTTAGACTCCCAGAAGAACTTTTCAGACAGACATGGAAGGTGGAAATTCTTGGCGATCTGAGGCCAGTGGCACCCAGATGGGTCTGAGAGGGCACAGGCTCAGGTGACAACTCCCCTGGTCAGCCCTTTCTCTGTCATAGGCAACTGGGTTACCATGGCAACAGGAGGGGGAGATAAACTGGGTCCTGGAGCCCCACCCCTAGAGAATCTCTCCTGGCTACAGAGTTGATGCTCAGTGACCTGGAGCAACTTGCTTCATTTCTCTGAGCTTTAAATCTCACATTGTGAAATGGGTGGGAGACTGCTCTCCCAAGGGCAAGGGGTGTCATTTGGGGCAGGATGGTCAGGGAAGGTGACACCAGAAAGAGAAAAGGCTTGAGGCTAGGGCAGGCAGGAGAGTCCAAAGGCAGAAACCTGCCTCATGTGCAAGGAGCAGCAAAGGGGGGTAGCTGGAATAGAGCAAGCCAGGGGGACGAGGGGAGGCCTGGGAGGGGACCATGGTTCTCTGAGACAAGAGCCATGGAAGGCTCTGGAAAAAAAGGAGGAAAAAGAGCTAATGTGTATTTTACTTACTGTTTATTATTATTGTGTGATAGATGATGAGGTATGAATACCATCATGGGTGTATGAAGGTCAGAGAACAACTTTGTGGAGTCAGTTCTTTCTAAAACCTTTACTTGGGTTCCAGAGATTGAACTCAGATCACTAGACTTGTACAACAAAAACCTTTACCCGCTGAGCCATCTCCATACCCAATACGTACCTTAAAGCAAATGTAGAGGGGCTGGCAAGATGGCTCAGCAGGTAAAGGCATTTGCTGCCAAACCTGATGACCTGAGTTCGATCCCTAGAAAGGACCCACATGGTGGAAGGAGAGAACCAACTCCTGAAAGCTGTCCTCCAAACTCCATACACACCATGACATGAGCTGCTCCCCAATAATAAATGAATGTAATAAAAATTAAACATAGAAATACAAAAAAAATAATAATAATAGCCACTCAGACCCAGGACTGAGTGGGGAAAGAAGAGTAGAGACCTCACATCCCTAAATAGGACAAATCACCCACCCCAGGCCTGGTGCATCATTGCTTGGAGGAACCACAGTTTATGGAGGTCCAGGGAAAGCCAGATTAGGGATCAGAGATGCCAACTAGACTGACAGCTGCTGTCATCCCCAGGAGGGGAAAACAGGTTCTCCATGCCTGGTGACATACACATACCCCAGGTCTAATGACCCCATTCCTCCCTGTTGTCCCCTGTAAGTGGAGTCCTCTCTGTGCTTAGGGCTGTATACTATTCCATTGCTGTTCCTCATTTATTGCTGAGGGGCCTCTGGGTTGTCTTGAGGTTGGCCCTCATAAAGTTGCCATGGATATCCAGGGAGGGGGGTGCTTTTGGTGGAGAGGTGGGTTTATGCCCGTTCCTAGGAACAGAGCTGCTTTATGAGACTGTGTGACAGTTGGCTGTGGGCTTCCAAGGAACTTTGACCAATTTATGTTCCTAGCATTCCACAAGGCCCCTCTGTCCTTTGTGGCCTGCCTGTGTATCTGTGTGGTGTTCTCTGTGTTGCCCAATGTCACCGTGTCTGCTGTGCTAGTCCCCAGCTTCTCTCTTCCTTGTGGCCCAACAAACTGGGGTTTTGTCATTTGGCAGTGATGGGGATGGAACCCAGGACCTTCTGCATGCTAGGCAGGAGCTCTACCACTGAGCTACACCCCCAGTCCCTCACTAGGGTATTCTAGGTAGGTGCTCTGCCACTGAACAACATCCCTAATCCCTCACTGGGGGATTCTAGGCAGGGCCTCTATCACTGAGCCACACCCCCAGCCCAAGCTGTGGGTTTTGAGAGACAAGGAGGCATCTTACATGCTCATCTTGGCCTCCTCTTCTTCCTCCAGGACCCGACCACGCCCTCATGGCTCCCCTAGCCTTGGTGGGGCTTGTACTCCTCTTGGGAGTTTCCCACTGCTTGGGGGCAGTCACCCCGACCCCTTCCCTGCCACCTCCCCCAGCTAATGACAGTGATGCCACCCTGGGTGGCTGCCAGGGCTCATACCGCTGCCAGCCGGGGGTGCTGCTGCCTGTGTGGGAGCCAGATGACCCATCACTGGGGGACAAGGCCGCAAGGGCCGTGGTGTACTTCGTAGCAATGGTCTACATGTTCCTGGGGGTGTCCATCATTGCTGACCGCTTCATGGCATCCATTGAGGTCATCACCTCCAAAGAGAAGGAGATCACCATCACCAAGGCCAACGGCGAGACCAGCGTGGGCACTGTGCGCATCTGGAATGAGACTGTGTCCAACCTCACGCTCATGGCCCTGGGCTCCTCTGCACCTGAGATCCTGCTGTCCGTCATTGAGGTCTGTGGCCATAACTTCCAGGCAGGCGAGCTGGGCCCAGGCACCATTGTGGGCAGCGCAGCCTTCAACATGTTTGTGGTCATTGCTGTGTGTGTGTATGTCATCCCTGCTGGGGAGAGCCGCAAGATCAAGCACCTGAGGGTCTTTTTCGTCACAGCCTCATGGAGCATCTTTGCCTACGTCTGGCTTTATCTTATCCTTGCTGTCTTCTCCCCAGGAGTGGTCCAGGTGAGTAAGGACCCAGTCCTCGAAAAGTCTGAGAGGCCGACTGATGGGTTATGCCAGTCACAAGGGGGCTGAGCCAAAGACAGAAAGTCGGGAGTGAGAATGGGCCTAGGAGAGTACCATTTCACACCACCTGCCCGGAGTCACACCACCTGCCTGGAAGGTACCTCTGTACTCTCCCCAAGGTGGTGAACCCGCTAACTGGTCTTTGTGAGACGCCACAGCTGCCCATATAGTTACTGAAGCTAACTCCTTTTGAACAGTGTATTCCTGCTTTGCAGTAAGACATGTCCATTTGTATAGTTCACACTACACTGGCTGGCTGGCCTGGAGGCCTGGTGTGGTCTGACAGCCAGAATCTGTCTGGGTAACTTGGTACATTTACATAATATATTCAGGAACTCCTGTAGATGGTGCTCACATCAACAGTAGTTTGCATAACTCATTCATTATTCATCTTCGGTTGTAATTTACACTCCTATCCAATCAGCAGACACCAGAGCCTGGTGTCCATTTTACATAATTTATTCCAACACCCGGACAAATCTGAGCCCCAGGACCACCTGGCTCACACATCCCTACTCCTGTCCCCACAGTCCTCTTCCTCTCCTACTTCCAGAGTCTGTCCACTTCCTTTACAACCTTTGGTTAATTTCCCACAATTCCATGATTACTGCCATTATTTGCATAACTTATTCATGGGCCTGGCCTAATTGGTTCAAGCACATGCATCCACTGTGTGATCTGTGAACTCCTGTCAGTTAATAGTTTGTTCTCTGGAATGACTGAAAGACAGAGATATAAAAGGGCTTTACTGACAGGCGTAGTGGCGCACAGCTTTAATCCCAGCACTCGAGAGGCAGAGACAGGCGGATCTCTGTGAGTTCAAGGCCAACGTGGTCTACATAGTGAGTTCCAGGACAGCTGGGGCTACAGGGAGACCCTGAGACCCTGTCTCAAAAAGACTGGGGGAAAAAAGAAAAAGGGCTTTACAGTTGCTGCAGGAGTGTTGGAGACTGTGGAGATTAGCTGGGCTGGGAATGCTGAGGCAGGAGGATTGCTGTGAGTTCGAGGTCAGCCTGGGCTACCTAGTGAGAACAATTCAGGAAAACAAAAAAAAAGGGTTGGTGAATCTGGGTATGGTGAGATAACGCCTTTAGACCCAGGCAGGAGGATCTCTGTGAGTTCGAGGCCAGCCTGATCTACATAGTAAGTTCTAGGCCAGACAGACTTTTGCCCAAAAAAAAGGGCAGGGGGAGGGGGCTGGGGATGTAGGTAAGCAGTGGTAAAGTACTTGCCTAACATGCATGAGGTCCTGGCAGGAAAAAAGGAACTGGAAGGAGAAGGGAATATTAAAGAAAAAAAATGTGGAAAGAATGCAAGATCCCAAAGAAAAGATAGTGTTGTATAGCTGTTCCCTCCAGATGAAACAGTACTTCATGGAAGGAAGCAAATCTTTTCATATCTTTTATAAAATGAGAGAGGGGGGAGGGAAGGAGGGAGGGAGGGAGGGAGAGAGGGGGGAGAGAGAGAGAGAGAGAGAGAGAGAGAGAGAGAGAGAGAGAGAGACTGTAGGATTAAAGAGTGAGTGATGTAACTGACCATGACTGTAACAGTGAGCTTCCTAGCAGCTATGGTGAAAAGTACAGGATAAGGCATCACACAGTGTTTAGGATCTCTAAAAAAGGATGGTGTCCTGGTTTAGATTCCAGCATAGCTTTTGTGTGTGTGGTATAGGTATTCATTTGAGTGTATTTGTGTATGCAGAGGCCGGAGGTCAACCCCAGGTGTCTGCCTCAGTCACTCTCCATCTTGTTTTTTGAGACAGGGTCTCACACTGAACCTGGAGCTCACCAACTGGCCAGGGAGCTTCAGGTCCTTCTATCTCCATTCCTCCATTCCAGCTTTTCATGTAGAACAAAACTTTACCCACTGAGTCGTCCCAGCCCTCTGAAATGTGAGGAGAGAACTGTAGGTACTGAAACTGAGAGGCGGGGGACGGCAGAATGGAAGAGACTCTCCCCCCTTCTGGCTGCCTCCCAGAGGACAGAGCGAGTGTGGAGAACACCTGGGCTCTGGGTGGAGATGTGGCTACAGGGAGAACAGGATTCTAGAATGTTATTAGTCACAGGAATTCCTCATAAAAGGGTCAGCCTGGCCCCAGAATCTCTCCTATAACTGCTTTGTGACCTCAAGCAAAGCTCATGCCCTCTCTGGCCTTCCAGTTTCACATATGAACCATCAAAGAAATAACCTGGGACCAGCTATTCTCTGCCTTGCACACACAACGCTCCACTTTTGACAATATTTTGTCACATTCCTTTAACTCTGCTAAAGTGATATCCTGAGTCATCAAAGAAGAAGAGGTTCGGTACACAGACCTGAAGCCAGGTGCCTGTGTTCAAATCCAATCTCTGTTCCTCCCTGGTTGTGTGATCATAGACAAGTTCCTTGGCTCTGTGTGCCTCACTGGTCTCCATAGTGCTGAGTTCCTAGGGCTGCTGTGAGGATGACTTTAATCAGTCTGCATGGAAGGACTTGGAACAGTGTGCTTGGAACAGAGTAAAGGAGCTCTGCTTCCCATAAGTGAAACTGTGGATGAGCTGGCTCCCCAAATTAAAAATGACGGTGATTGGTGTCTACAAAGTCTTGAGAAAATAGATGACATGTAAAACAGGGTTTCGAGGGCCATGGAGGGTTGGAAGGGGCCTGGGGTGCCAATCTCTGAACCTAGCACTAAAGAAACTGAGCCAGGAGGATCAGGAGTTCAAGGCTAGCCTGCCCTACACAGTAAGTTCAAGGCTAGCCTAGCCTACACAGTAAGTTAAAGGCCAGCCTGACTGCATAGTAAATTCAAGGTCACCCTGGGCTACACAGTAAGTTTGATGCCAGCCTAGGCTACATGGGACTCTGAATCAAAGGAAGAAAAAAAACCAAAACAAACAAAAGAAAGAGCAGAATTGAGCTTTGAGCTCCAGTGATTGTGAATAGCATTTTAGAGACAAGGGAGCCCAGCAGCAGGTGTTCTCAAGGGATCTGGAACTCAGGCCATTCTGCACTAGGGTGAGGGTGGAGTAGGGAGGCACTGAACACAGAACATGACACACAACTGTCCCTAGACTTTCTTGAAGAAAGCCAGAATCACACCTTCCTCCCCAACTGAGATGCCCACTCAACTGAGAAGTTCCCCCTCCCCCAGGGTTTCTCATGCACCCCCCTCAGAGGTGCCGCCCACTGCCCTGCCCCAGGTTGACTAGAAGGGACCGCAGTCTCCTCCCAGGATGGGCATCAGCATTCACAGGGGCATCACTACAAAGGCAATAAGAATCTTCCAGAAGTGCCTTTAATTTACACTCAGAGAGGGAATGAAGTCAGGGTGGCTGAGGTTTTCTGCTGGTTATTGGAGAAGGCCTGGGTTCTAGGAACATTCAGAAAGCACAGCAGCTTGCGCCCATGCTCTGCTTCTGCCCCCAGCACTGGCACTGTGAGGTTTCTCTGTCTCCCAAGTCTCTCCCTTTCTGGGCAGCATCAGGAAAGACAGAGACTAGGGCATGGGAGTTGTAAAAGATCATTTTCCAGTGCCAGTGACATGGCTCAGCAGGTAAAGAGGTAAAGAAAGGCGCTTGTCGCCAAGCCTGACAACGAGTTTAAACTTTGGGACCCACGTGGTAGATGGGGAGAACTGGCTACTACAAGTCATCCTCTGACCTCCACATGCCTCCTTCCCCCCAAATAAATAAACAAACAAACGCAATAAAAATTTTAGAACATATCTTTTCCCTCTCAGACACTCTTGTCAGGAACTGAGGAGGTCATCTAATCAGAAGAACTCTTCCATTTTTTTTCTTTATTTTTAATGGGAAAGATGGTTCCTGGTCTTTGTATGAAAAGCTGCAGGACTGGAGAGATGACTCAATGGTTAAGAGACGGCTCTTGCAAAGGACCCGGGTTTGGTTCCCAGCACCCAGTCAGGTGGCTCACAACTTGTAACTCCAGCTCTAGGGGATTCAATGCCTTTGGCCTCTTCAGAAACCCACTCACAGACACATATGTAATTAAAAAACAAATAAATTTTAAAAACAGAGAGAACTGGGCATGGCAGTCTAGGGCTTTAATCCCAGCACTCTGGAGACAGAGGCAGGCAGACTTCTATTAGTTCAAGGACAGCCTGGTCTACATAGAGAATTCCAGGTACTATATTCTGAGATCCTGTCTCAAAAAAAAAGGAAAAAAAATCATAAATTTTCAAGGCTGGCAGGTGTTGGCAGACAGTTCCTGCCCAGCTGACAGGCAGGCTGAGCCTGAAGTTCTCAGCCAGCCCAAGATCACTGGACTAGAGGGAACAGTGAGCTGTGATTGTTGTTTTTCATACAGGAAATTAAACCAGGGCTACTCAGTATCCTGCCACTGAGCCACACCCCAGCCCCTCACTGGGGGATTCTAGGCAGATGCTCTACCACTGAGCCACACCCCCAGCACTTTATTTTTTTAATTTAATTTTTGTTTTTTTTTTTTCAGACAGGGTCTTTCTGTAGCCCAAATTGGCCTGGAACTCACTATGTAGACCAGGCTGGCTTCAATGTCAGAGAAACCTGACTGCCTCTTCCTCCCAAGTGCTGTAATTAAAGGTGTGTGCCACCTTGCCCAGTCCCCTCCCTTTTTTAAACTTTCTTTTTTCACTGATTATGTATTTTAGGGTCCATGTGAAGGTCAGAGGACAACGTGTGGGAGTCAGTTCCCTACCTCCACAATATGGGTCCTGGGGATTGAACTCAGGTAGACAGGCTTGGCAACAGGTGCCTTTTTACCCACTGGGCCATCTTGGTGTCACCCCCTTCCCCCCTCCTTTTTTTTAACTGTTTGAGAAAGGACCTCACGAAGTTTCCCAGATTGGCCTAGAACTTTCAGTTCTGCCTCAGCCTCCCCAGGTGCTGTGATCCCAAACTTGTGCACTCTGACCTCTTCCCTGTGCCATTTCACCTCTTGGATGTTCTGTGCTAAGACCTGGTGCTGTGGTGCTGGGGACACATGTGCTCAGCTCCAGCTTTGAGGTGGTCCTCACAAGCCACAAGGCTGCTGAATCACCTGACCTTCTGTGGAACCAGCTGTCTCTTCAGAGATGCCTCTCCTCTCTCTGACCCAGAGCAGGCTCTTGGGAGTGAGTGAATGAGTGATTGAGTGTATTAGTCACTTTTCTGTTACTGTGATAGAGCACATTGGCCAAGGCAACTTATAGAAGAAGGAATTTATTTGTGCTTACAGATCCAGCAGGTTTGAGTCCATAATGGCAGGGGAGGCATGCCAGAGCAGAAGGCCTAGTGCTCACATCTTCAAGCAGGCACAGGGAGTTGAGACTGGAAATCTGGCAAGGCTTAGAATTCTCAAAGCCTGCCCCCAGTAATGTACTTCCTCCAGCAAGGCCACACCTCCTAAAATTTCCCAAAACAGCACCACCAACTGGGGACAAAATGTCCAAATACTTGGAGACTATGAGGGACATTCTCATTCAACCCACCACATTCCACTCCCTGGCCCCCATAGGCTCATGACCATATAAAATGCAAATGACATTTAATCCACCTTCAAAAGTCCCAATAGTCTTTACCAGTTTTAATATTATTCAAAATTCCAGAGTCCAAAGTCTCTTCTGAGACCCAAGGCAATCTCTTAGCTGTAAGTCCCTGTAAAATCAAAAGACAAATTACGTACTTCCAACATACAATGGAACCAAATACACATTCCCATTCCAAAAGGGAGATATGAGGGCATAGTGTGGAAATACTGGACCAAAACAGGACCAAAAAACCAGCAGGGCAAATGCCAAATCCATTAGCTCCATGTCTAGCTTCTGGGACTTTATTTTCAAAGGGCTTAGATGACTCAGCCCCTCCAGCTGTGCTGTTCATCTCTCTCTTGGGCTGCTATCACTCTGTGTATGCAGCTCTCCTTGATAAATGTCTCACAGCTCTAGCATCTTAATGTCTTAGAATCTCCATGACCAACCAAGCTTCACCTTCACCATTTCATACAATGACCTGTCAAGATCTTTTTTATGCAGGGATACCCCTGCTGCATGCTACCTGGTCTCAGTGACTCTCTGAAATGTCAAAGGAAGAACCAATGACCCCTTCACTCTTGCATCTTTCATGCCTCTAAAGCAGCACCACATGAACAACACTGCCAAGTTGGATTGCCAGCCTAGGATGGACTCTGTCCTGCTTCATCCACATTAGCAGCTTTTCTATGCTGTGGTTTTCTAGGAACAGATAATCCCTCTGACATTTTACTTTCACAAATTGGAGACTTAGCTGGGCATGGTCTTGCCCAGAAGGTACTCTTTCCATTGTTTAAGTGAAAATCTGTAGGCCTCTGCTTAATGGCTCGCATCTCCTTATCAAAGAGAGCCTCTCCTTCAGCACGTCTTGGCTCCAACTTTAATCTTCCCAGTGTTCTTTTTCAATCCAAACATACATTCTGCATTTCTTTCTGCCCCATTTGCTCTTTTTCATTGTAGATCTCCATATTTGCCATTAATAACCATGCCACCAATTCAACATTAGGCTGTGTTGAAATTTCCTCCACCAAAGAAACTAGTCTCTTACTTTTCAAATTATCCTTAGGCAAGCTCTTAGGCTGTGGGCAGACAGTAGCTAAATGCTTTGTAGAAAGCATCCAAGTTGCTGTTTAAGCCCTTATTTTTTTGCCCTGAAACTACTTTGCTCTCAGCACTACTTTCTTCCAGGATCCTGCTAGAAAGGCCTCCTAAGTTCTGCTTTCAGTATTCAACTGCTTTTCTAGTCCAAACTTCTGAAGTCTTCCACATTCCTATAAAAAACCTACATGGTCAGGCTCTTCACAATAGCCCACTCTCTGGTACCAACTTCTGTATTAGGTACTTGCTATTGCTGTGATAAAAACACTGAGACCAGGGGGCTGGAGAGATGGCTCAGCAGTTAAGAGCACTGACTGCTCTTGCAAAAGACCCTGGGTTTGATTCCCAGTACCCATATGGCAGCTAACAACCATCTGTAACTCCAGTTCTGGGGATCTGACACACTCTTCTGACCTCCAAGGGCATTGCACGATACAAGTGCAATTACACAAATGCATGCAATGTACACATAAAATAAAAATAATAAATAACATATTTAAAAAACACTCTGACCAAAACCAACTTGAGGAGGAAGGGCTTATTTCATCTTACAGTTAATTGTGGAGGGAAGCAGGAGGTCACGGCAGGAACCTGGAAAACAGACCATGGAAGAGCACTGCTTAATGACTTCTTCTACTGGCCTCTGCTCAGACTGCTTTTTTTTTCTTTTTTTTTTTTTTTTGGTCTTTTTGAGACAGGGTCTCCCTGTAGCCCCAGCTGGCCTAGAGCTCACTGTGTAGACCAGGCAGGCCTTGAACTCACAGAGATCCACCTGCCTCTGCCTCCCAAGTGCTGGGACTACATGTGTGTATGTCACCATGCCCAGCTTAGACTGCTTTCTTATACGGCCCAGGACCCCCTGCCTAGGGGTGGCACTGCCCACAGTGGGCTGGGCCCTCCCACATCACTCAACAATCAAGAAAATGCCCCACAGACATGTCCACAGGCCAATCCAATGGAGGAAATTCCTTAATTGAGGTTCCCTCTACCCAGGTGTGTCAACTTGATGGCTGAAACTATCCAGCACAATGAGTGAGTGAATTCATGAATGAGTAAATTAATGAGTGGTCGCTGTAAGATCCAGTGCTTCAAGAGAGTGAGCCAGACTTGTACCTCTTTTAGAGTCAGTCCTGTCCGTAAGAGCCACACAAATTCTAAGGAAGGAGAATCTGCCTGGACTGTGGTCCCTGATAGTGGTGTGGGTGATGGAGGGATTGTGGTGAGCTGACAACAGGCCTCCAGGATGGGTGGAGAGTTCAGATGTGCCAGGTGATGGGGAGAGAAAAGTTGGAGGGGGAGGGGGAGGGGCAGGAAGAGATGCAGGTTTGCACCCTGAGAGGCTGGGACCACAGGTAGTGATATCTGTCACTTGATGGTGGCTGAGGGTGTCTGAGTGCAGGCAGCAAGGTGTGGCTCTCCACAGGTGGGAAGTGGATGAATAGATGAATAAGAAGACCATGACAAACGCAGACAAAGAGCACACAGGAGCATGCAGGTGCGCACACGCGCATGTGCGCGCACGCACACACACACACACACAAATGCCCACATGCACCGGCACATACATGTACACATAGTGCTCTCTGGTGAGACAGTTGCTAAGGGGACCAAGAAAGAAAAACTTGGAAGATTCTCATAAGGGAGAGAGAGGGGGGTGCCTACAAAGAGATAAAAATGATGACATGGAAGGGCTGGAGAGATGGTTCAGTGGTTAAGAGCACTGACTGCTCTTACAGAGGACCCAGGTTTGAATCCTAGCACCTACATGGGCGGCTAACAACCATCTATAACTCCAGTTCCAGGGGATCCGACACACTCTTCTGACCTCCAAGGGCATTGCATGACACAAGTGCACTTACATAAATGCATGCAATACACTCATACACATAAAATAAAAATAATAAAAATATTCTTTTAAGCCAGGCGTGGTGGTGCACACCTGTAGTCCCAGCGCTTGGGAGGCAGAGGCAGGCAGATCTCCGTGAATTCAGCCTGGTCTACAGAGTGAGTTCCAGGTCAGCTGTGGCCACAGGGAGACCCTGTCTCAAAAAGACCAAAAAAAAAGACAATCTCGGCAACAGGAGCAAGGGAGAAAGATTTACCAGCTGAGGGGCAAGGCAGAGATGAAGAGAGAGGGGCAGTCTGAAGGATGGAGCGAGATGGGGAGAGGAGAAAGGAAAGAAGGGAGGGATGATGGAGAGATGGAAGTATGGATGGATGGAGACAGATGTATTGAAAAACTGGTGGGTGAATAGACAGCTGGATGGATGGGCGGATAGACAGATGAGTGGATGGAAATGGATGGATGAGTGGACGAGCAGATGGATGGGTGGCAGGTGAGTGAATGGATAGGTGTGTGGATACATAGGTGAATGAGCCAGTAGATGAATGAATGGGTAGATGAAGAAAGATAGATGGATAGGTGATGGATAGAGGGATTGTGGGTGGATACATGGATGGAGGGACAGATGGACGGATGGATG